GGAGTGGAAGCGCGCACTGCTTACCACTACACCACAGCGGCCGACAGCGGTTTCGTTATTACTTACTGTTTATAAACTGAAATGTCGTTAAAACAAGCAATTGTTAAACGCTTAGGACCCATAAAATGGGAGCGCTGCATAGTGTGTCGTTTTCATATTAATACCTTATGAATAGAGCTGAGTAGGTGTACTCCCTACGCACAAAAGAAGTGAAACTTCATAGGAAACATTTTGTCTTGTTGTTTCTGTCTTTGTTTGTGTCTTGCCGTTGTCTTTCTTTATCTTGATATTTACCTTTGTCCTTATTTTATCTTTATCTTATTATTTATTTACATCTGCATTTCCATCTTGTCCTTAATCTTATTTTTTCTGTATTTTTGTATTTGACTTTGTCTTTGTCGTTGCCTTTGACAGCGTCTTTGCCTTTGTCATTATCCTAATATTTTTGTTTTATCATTTATCATTTTATTATCGTAATATTTATCATTTATCATTTCTCTTTGTCTATATTCTTGTATTTTCCGTTGCCTTGTATCTCCCGGCCCAGTGGTGTTCAACGCAATCATATTGCATCTTGAAGGAGGCGCTAAATATTTAACACAAACATCTCCGAACTCGATTAGGAAGATCCAATACAAAATCCGCACTACTAATGACTTTACTGAGCCCCCCCTAACTTTCAAATTTTACTTATATATATATAAAATAGTACCCTGAAATCCCAGCTTAATAGGGTCGAGCCTCCCCCCCCCTAAATTTCATTCTGGCTACGCCGATGAGTATATCGATGCCAGGTGGTATTTAGGTGTGTGATGAGGAGATGAACCTCGGTCGGATTTTTCTGGATCGTCCATTGTGTGATGGTTCTTAACTTCGGAATTTGAATGGTTTTTTTAATTTATCCTTTAAATGCTTAGTGCCGAGTATTTTTGTTTACAAAATCGATTCAGCTGATATATAACACTTTCGATGTCTCAAAGTGTGCCACTTTTTCATATCGGTGAATTAAGCCAATCAAGCCAACTAGCGTGGCAACGGGTTGTCGACAAAGATGCATGAATTACAGCTCCTTTAAACGTCAAGTCTGTTGTATGTAGTTTGTTGATATGTATTATGTTTTAAGGTCAACATGCGGATGAAGATGACCTTATTTTTCAGTGGATTTCGAAGAATATAAAGGTTTTTAAAATAACATGTTTTTGTGGCAGCAGTAAGTTTGGATGCGAAAGTCGCTATGAAAATTCCTTAGGATTTCCAGTTCACATTAATGATTGAACCTTCTACCTACATATGGGCAATTCCAGCGAAAAGTCTACCGCGTAAAAAATTTAAAAACCTAACTTATTTATAGACCGATATGGCTGCTATTTATAATACATACTGGTTATGTAAACAGAAACATTTTTGTCAAAAATTGTCTCGTTAGGTGGCGCCAGGGTCGAGATATTTTTCGAAACCATATTTATGCTCTCATTTGTTTCGTATTTGGTATGTTTAGTTGAAACGGAATAAGACATAGACTTGCAAAAAATGGAGCCGCTGGTGGCGCTGATGTCAAAATAAAAAGTACGCTCGACGTAAAATGCATGTTATTTTCCCGTTAAAATTTCTTTCAAGAATAATACCAACAAAACATTTTCAATTAAAATTTTAGTAACGTAACGCCAGGTAACGTCACGTCAGATAATTCAGCTGATTGTACATACAGCATACATATAAATACTTGGAAAACTAACCTTAAATATTTCCAATATTACTACAAAAACTTTTATACAAATAGTCTTGCCCAATTCGCAAAGTTTTGCAATTTCGTAACCGAAGTCAAATTCCACTTGTAATTTTTTTACTAAATAAGGGGACATTTAATTGCTATGCAAATCTAGAAAAACCTTTTTAGAATTTTGACTTTTTAAATTTTTTTTTTACATTTTGTCATACGAGCGTCACGTAATGCCAGTTTGGAAATACCCATATGTATCATGATTCAATAATACAAGGTTGTGTAATTTGTGACAGCTAAAATTTGACACTCCTTTATCTAGATTTGTATTTTGGAAGTAGGAGAATGGTGAAGAATGTGATCGCCTTTTGCGAAAACGGTAGTGGAATGGTACTACAAAAAGTACGCAAAGTATACAATTAGAAGTAAAATGTTTATTATTAATTCTATGCGAATTTGCAATATATTTGGTGTTTTAATGGAAATACTAAACAATACATAAAAATATGCATTTTTTGGTTTAAGTTATTCGTCATTTCCTGGAACAAATCTAGAATACCGACCGTTCAGCTATGCAAAAACGAAAAATGCAGATCACTAGAACTTTTTATGCTCATTTTAACCATGCCATTATTTGGCGCAAGTAAAAAATGAAGACGTTCTAGAAGGTTAAAGTTCAGTTTTTAGATATTTTAAATATTAATATATTATGAACTATATAACCGATTAAAAAACTAATGACCACACCATAGATTTTTGTATTTTTAAACCAAACCCACTAAAAAACGAACAAATGTTATTTTTTCATGAAATAACCTTTTTTTGAAAATAATCTGCATAATTAATGGTAAAGAAATTTATATTATTTAGAAAGTACAAGTTATTATCTTTAATTCGATATTACATATTTTATCATGATCTACTTTTGGGTTTCAACAATTTAGTGATAATAAAAAATACAAATAAACTTCTTATATCTTCTTTATTTTTTACCTGCCCCAAATAAATTTGGTATCGTTGAAGTCAGCGTAAAAAGTTCTATCAATCGGCATTTTTGGTTATTTTATAGCTAAACGGTCGCTATTCTACACTTGTTCTAGAAAATTACGCAAGCGAAGGTGATGCCAACGAATATTTAGTATGAAGAATTTTTGGTTTTACTACTAATATCACTAGAAACTATAGAGTAAGCAACATTCTGCACAAGTAAAGGAGCCGATTTTATGTGTGGGAGCGAGAATACTGTTTTATTACAAAACCTTTCTATTATTGAATCATGCATATGTATATAAATTTGAATCAAAAACTCATAAGTCACGGTGACAGCGTTCAACACATTTAACTTGCTTACAAGAAGTCTTTTGGTAGCTACCAACTACAGGCAACTGTACAGCTTAAGGAAAACTATTAGAGGGTCTGCTAGGACTCAGTAGAAAATCAGGATGGTTTAAAGACATGTAGGGATAGGTAAACCTCCTGGACATCGAGATGGGCCTTTGTGCCTGTCGTGCCATTAGGATCGCTTATTTTTTATAAATTTCAGTTTTCCTTAAGTCCTAGGAATAACTAACTGTTCTATCTGACATATGTATTTTACCAATTTACTGTAATCTTCTTTCATTTCAGTTATGCTTGGATTGATTTTACGTCATTTGTCCAGTAATAAATTTCTTTTACTCCTCATATTTGTTCTAAATTTACGTGATTTCTTGGAACAACTACACACCTACGAATTCAAGCGTTATCCTCTTGAACAAATTTATAGTAAAAGTCAAATTAAACAGTGTGAAGTGATATTCGAAAGTTTAGAATATGATTACCAATCGAGTACACACAATATTTTTAGCCATTTGTTGGCCAAAACCGGAAGTCGCAGAAAAACTCAGATATTTCGCAGCAAAAGCGGTGTTAACAAAATCATAGCAAAAAGCTATCCGAAAAGTCTGGAATTTATAAAACTTCTCAATTTTCCGCTAAATCGAGAACTATTAAAGAGAGAGTTCCACCTGCAAGCACCGAGCTTAGACTTTCAATTCTGTCCCCATGAAAGCATACAGCGTTTTGTAAACTTTTTCAGCACCACGAGTGGTTACAACGAAACAACGGTTTGGTTGTTTATGCTCACTAATGCGCAGCTGATCTTGCAACCCTATTTGCAGAAGCATGGCTTTCCAGTGCCGCAAACGTTTGGTATATGTGGATTTACCGCTTATCAAGAGCATGTTGGACAGACGGTGGAGCACTTCTACCCGGCAGATTTCCAAATTAAACTACGAATCGTAAGGCAACTACTTGAGGCAGCTTTAATATTTACAAATGGCTTTGAAGGATATCGCATATATATAACCGATCTGACCTCAGACAATCTAGTTTATAATGTTGAACGTGATAAACTTTATTTCGTTGACTTGAATACAGTGTATATAGTGGATGCGAACAGCACAATTGATAGTGATGGTGTTGATCATCATGACTTAATTGCGTGCGACAATTGTTTTGCATTCGTACCAGATCGTTTGTGTACGAATGGGTTAAGCGATTTGAATGTGCTGGAGTCTTGTCTCTTTATTCGCGAGGACTTGAAAGGGGATCAAACAAAAGGCTTCTTAAAACCAATACCAGCGGAAATGGAGGTGAAATATCCGAATTTGGTGCAGCTACTAGACGAATGTGTCGAAGGTGCGACATATAAAGAAAATTCCAGCGTCAACAGCAACAACAACATCGGCAACTACAATATGTCGCGTTTCATGGCAGCTATTAAGTTAATTGAATTGTTAACGAATATTTCAGGTGAAAATTAAGCGATTTACAGTATAAGTGAAAATCCAAAGTGCACTTTTTAATATTAGATATACACTGGCGATCATGTTAGAACTTACCACCACTATTTTTTATTTAAAAAAAAAATGCGTTAGAATCTCGTACATTAATAAAAAAATATATTTTTACTTAATTTACGAAGTTCTACCTCATTCAAAAACAAATGGGAGTAAGTTATATTTATGTACATATCGTTTGTACGAAAGTCCAGTTATTACTCATTTAAATCCTATTAGAACTTAGAAATAACTGCTACAGCATAAAACTAGTTATAATCTTCAATAAAATACAGAGTTTATAAAGAATTTGGAGCTAAAGAACTTGATTTTCTATTAAGTATTTAATCACTCCATAAAGAAACAATAATGTTCTTTTCGCACACCATTTTCAAAAGGCAATAATACAAAAACAGGTATGGCAGTAGTTTTATAGTTAGAAAATATAATAATGAAGAAAAAAATATTTGCATTAATTGGATATACATAAATACTATGAATTGATTTATGCAAAAAATCTACTAAGTTTTTGTTTTTTAGTTGTGCTCCTTTTGAAGAACGTGTGCGATATGTAGGTTTACACTAAATGGATTTAAGGTTATGTTATACTATAAAAAGAAAATGAATGTGAATATCTATTGACAATTGAACAAAGTGAATACCGTAAACTTTAAATCGATTCTTTTACTGTGCTACTTTATTAAGTTTTTAAATAAATCAATGAACTTTTTAATGTTTTTTACTGTTAATACAAATTACAGGGTTATTTTTTTTCTCGAAATCATATTTTGAAAGTTAAAGGTTTCGAGACCTTCGAGACCTTTCTTCACCACAATTTTTATCATACTGCCGCTAAATAATTGTTTCACAAATTTTATTATTTTTATTATTGTATGGGTCGAATTCCTAAGTTTGTTTGCTAGGTTGGAGCTGCTTCGGCCGCTTTTGTTTTGTCATATGTGATGAGTTTTGGAACGAGTCCCTTTTCGTTCAGAACGAAAAATTACACTAAAGATGGCACAATACCGAAACAGGTTTGTCCCCAAACTAAATTTTTCATGGGATGACGAAAATTCGTTCCAAAACAAAAAATACACCAACCCTTTCTGAAGAACAGAAAAATCATACATAATCAAAAAGAAAAAAAATTGTTATATCGTATTTTTTTAATTCTTTTTTAAGTTTGTAGCGTACGTAAACTGTTTCTTTCAAGGAGGAAAGTTATAATTTTGCTACAACTTTCTCGATTTTTACATTTAGGAGATTCACTTCTGATTCGCTCCTGATTTTTTTTTATTTTTGATTTTTTTTTATATTTGCTTTTTGGTTATTTTTTAATATTCTTTTTATTTTTTATTATTTATGTATGTTTTTTTTTATATTTTTTATTGGCTGATGTCGAACATGCTGAATCCAAAGCAGTTGTTTTTTTGTATCGATTTCATAAATTCTAACTCCAAAGTAACAATATTTTTTTAGTTTAAAATCCTTATTATATTTGCTATTTATGTACATATTTTTATACATAATAAAATTTTATGAAACTAATTTTGTCGTATTTTCGGAAAATTTCTCCAAATTTATCTACATCACTTTCATTTTAGTTTTCATCCAAATACTTAATGTCGTTCTGCAGATCCTTTAGCTCTTTCAACATACTCTTTGTCATTTGACCCTCCGGCGTCTCGGGGGGTTCATAAATTAACATTCGTATTGATTCACGTAGCATCATTTCTATTCGTTTCAAAAGCTCCTGCAAGTTACAAAAATAAAAAACAAAAATAAATTAAATAATAAATACATACATATTACGAAATTCGCCGCTTAATTGCACTTAAAAAATTGCACAAATTTTGTTTCAATTAACCGGAGAATCAATTAAAGGTATATCCCTTTTCGATAGTACATATTATTAACCAATCAACCGGAAGTCAATTAGTACCCATAACGTTTTTCGAACTTATTTAAAATAATACTTAGATTAAACATTTATTGCATTCTGATCTCAGATTTCAATCTCTTATAATCAAATGATAAAAATAATTAAAATTAAAAAATAATAGCAGCCAGTTTCGCAAAAGCAATTGAAATTGAGAACAAAGGCTATACACTAAAATTCTTGCAACTTACGACAAGCTCCGTTTTCTGCAACTCCTTTTCCTCGTATCGCATGCGTTGCAACTCTGCCGATGTATTAGCCATTTCATAGAGTACAATCGCTTTCAACCGCGAAATACCTGGTAGAATAATCTGTAAAACACCAAATATATCCTGACAAAGTCGCACTTTGCGCTCGTAAACCTTCCGGCCCGGCTGCAATGTGAAATTTTGTAGTATGGAGCGCAAAATCGCCGCAATATTTTGCTTGATATCCAGCAATAGGTAGTGATTGGGATGAAAGTAGCGCGTGAGTTTGGCCAGCAAGAGCTCATAACGTGTAATATCATCTTTGGCATGAAACATTTCTTCTTTGGCCCGTTCCACCAGCTGGTCTACAGTATCGACCGGTAGCGTATGCCCACACTGCAGACATTGCCACAACCACGCCTGCTTAGGGAGAATTTTCGATGATTGCTGTTGCGTCTGTGGCTGCGGCTTCTGCACCGCATACTGCTTCCTCATCTGCTTTACAATGAAACCCCCCTCTCGCTTATTCTCGGCACAACGCGCGCACATAAAACTGCTCATATGTGAACCCAGCTCGGTGGGGTCCTCACAGCGTTCACATTTACAGTCGAAATACTTGCCCACCTTTAGCATATTATGCCGCTCGTCGGTGCCCTGAAGCGATAAAATTATTAACTTTATTCTTATACAGTGATGGAAAAATAAATAGGGACACGAAATTTTAGCAAGTTGTTCTTATTTTTCTTTGGTTTACTTAAAATTTATTATGTTTTTTACATAACTCATTATCTAACAAAAACGATATAAATTCATATTTCAAACTTTGTGCAAAAATTATAAAAAATCAGCAGAATTGCATTAAAATTTTCAACTTTTATAATCAGATTTTTTAGAATTTTTTTAACATGCAGTTTTATAGCCCATTAAATTTTAGTAGAGTAAAGTGCAAGTGTGAATTTTCTAAAAAATTTGGTTGATTTTTGATAAATCTTATTCTTTTTTCCATACAAAAAATAATTTAACATGCTTTGTATCGAAGAAAATTCATTCTACTAAAATTTAATGGGCTATAAAACTACATACTCGAAAAAGTTTTCACAGTCTGATTAAAGAGTTGAAAATTTAGATGCAATTATGCAGAATTTTTATAATTTTTTCATAAAGTTTGAAATAGGTATATATATGGTTTTTGTTAGATAATGAGCTATAATTTTATAAAAAAATAATAAATATTAAATAAACTAAAGGAAAATTGGAAAGATTAAAAAAAAATGTTGTGTCCCTATTTATTTTTCCACCAGTGTATATGTAGGCAATTTAAGATTTCAGCAACATACCAACAACACATTTGTGTAGCAATTATAGAGCATTTCTCCTTTGCTCACATCACGCGTGACAAACATTTTCAGCTGATAACTTTCATCGATACATGACTGAACATTCGATATACAACTGTGCGCTAAGAGTGCTGCACGCGGATAGATGCCACGTAACTGGCCTTCATCCGGCGCTCGTACCTCGAAACAGTTAACATCAACGATGGCCAGAAGTTTTTGCAGCAGTGTTACATCTATGGACTTTCCATCTTTCAGATATTTTGTCAAACCTGCGTTAAGTATGGGCTCGACGACGCCTTTTTGCGAATCTTTCCAAATTTCAGTGTTGCGCCGTTCTTCTAAATGCGCCTCCATTTGTAATAATTGCTCATAGTATGCAGCATTTGCTGGATTTTCGCGCAGAAGTAAACTTTTGAGAAGTCCGTACGTGTTAGGATTTTCCCTGAGCAAGTCTATGCGTAACTTTTCCATGTCGGCAAGTAAATGGCAGTCGTATTCATTGTGTGATGTACAATTGTCGCAGAGTAGAAAGACTTGGCAGGTGCTGATACGAATTAGACTTTTATTAGCAGCTTTCGAAAGTTAGGTTAGATGAATCTATTTAAAATTTTAAATCTACTGGGTATAAACTCGAATGCAAGTAGATGCTTAACACTATACCGTCTTATGGTTTAATCATTCATTAACTACGAAAACTGAACCTGGCTTAGCATTTTTTCTACTTGTCTAAAGATTGTCAGTTCGGTCCGTTAATAGGAGCTTGAATCATTGAAATGAAGATTAAACTTAAACAACTGTACAACTATGTACAATTTGTGTATAGAACGAAATAAAACGGTGTCCCATATTAAATTTAGATTTTAACATATTAATAAGCATCCTAACCTCCAATCTTCAAACTGTGGCTTAAAACCTAATTCATTAAACTGGAACACAGAGGCCCCTATTATGAGTTGCATTCGATTTTCGACTGTGGTCGAAAGTGCTGAGCGAACGAATTTTCGTTTGGTATTATGGCGATCATTCGATGAAGAATAGCGCTATTGTGAATTTCGCTCGTTTAGGTTGTTCACAATAGTATATTTTTCACCGCTGAGAAGCTTTGTTTACAAATCGAGCAAACTAAATAGTGTGCTTATACATATTTATGCAAATTTGTTCTAATTAAAATGAAGTAAAAAAGAAAGCAATTTTATAAAAACGTGGTAAAATGAGTACAACGAGTTCTGGTTCAACGATTCGTCAGAGGATGAGAGCTTAGTAAACTGGCCAGGAGTAGCAAATGCTCTCTTAAACATTTAAGTTTATTAGTCTTTCGAATATATTTTTATATACAATATATTTAAGAAATTTGTCTACCGATTCATTAAAAAGTTCCGACCATCTAAAGAGGCGTTTGTGAGCCAAATCTATTTAAAATATTTTAAAACTATCATTTTGTTCTCAGAGATCGTGCCAACAGAGCATTGGGATTTTCTTTCACAAGTAAAACCAGCCTTTCGAGCTTGTGTTTAGTATTCACGATGTTAGAACTGCATGAAATTAATAAAAATTGTTTAAAATTAGTGTCTAGCCGCCAAAATGTAAGAAAACATATACAAAATCATACATTTTTCACAATTTTCTAACACTTCGCTACACCATCGAAAGCAAAATTCTGTTCGACAGAAAATTCGATACTCAACGAAAATTTCGACACGCTTGCATAGCTCATAATACGAATTTCACTTTCGATCTTCGATCTTCGATAGCCAGCGAAGATCGAAAATCGAATGCAGCTCATAATAAGGGCCAGAAGATAGACTACAGAACCAAAATGTGGGATAGTACGTCAAATCTGGCTTGGACTACGTCCATTGCCCCCATTCTTATGTAGCGCGCTGAGCTCAGGATGATAATGGAAATCCACGCAGGAAGAATAGGTTTTCCAACAAAGGACTTCTTTCGAATAGTATACGTATAAATACAGTAGTCACGGCAACGAAAACGGGCTGCCTAGCTAAACAATGTCATCACCTGGCACAAATAAAAAGAAATGTTCTTGGCAAAATATACTGCGCTGTTTTGTTCGTTTGGTCCTTCAGAATACCTCGCTTGGCAGCGCCATGAAAGGCATTCTGATGTTTCTAGTAAGCCATCTTACTTAGAAGCGGTAATTTGCTGAACCAGAGATAATCCTAAAACGTAATGTTTTTCAGATACAACATATTCGTCAACTCTCGTCTCTTGAATGCCGGGGTTGCTTCGTGGTTCGAGTAATATTCAACAAAAGTCGTTTTTCTAAAGAGGTCGCCTCTCAGGAGCGTTCATGAGCGGTATAATATTTTAGGCCCTTTAATTTTTGCGACAACTTTAAAACGCACAGCATGAACTGTAGCAGCAGCTCTGCCTTACACTTTCCACCTACGCCTCCACTTTTACATTTATAAATACTTGTAAAAAATAATAGATTGGCGCTTACACATACATAAGTTAGTGTTGGTCTGAGCTTCTTCTCCGATTTGTGGCGTGCGTCTTGATGTTATACATAGGGGAGGGACCTACAGTTTTACGCCGACCCCGGACGGCGATTGTATTTTTATGAGAACCAGAAATTACATTTTTTATATATTTTTTTTAGCGCGCACTGTTAACCAACACACCACAGCGGCTTGCATTAAAAAGTTTGAAATAATTAGAGGATGCACAAGACTAATAGGAAATATATTATTGGCTCTTATTATATAGTACAGACATTAAGATATTATGACGCTTAATACGACTTGTGAATCCCCTAAATGTTTATTTTAGTTTCCTTATAAATTTATTAATACCTGCAAAATTGTTTAGTTAGTTTCAAGCAATTCGAGCATCGGCTATCGCCATTGAGAGCCAGCAGCAATATTGGCTGTTCTAGCAGACAAGTTTCGCCGGCTTTCATGTCCACTGCTGCGGTGACATATCTGCAAAAAAATATGAAATATGTAAATATTAAGAAATAATAATAAAACTATGTGTTATGTAGCTAGAAACTCAAAAATAGAAAAACAGGGACTCTAAATGGGATTCACATATGTTCATAGTATATGGGGCGTTCCATACCAAAACGGACGAGGTTCACACTTCATCTGTTTGATTTGTTTCAAATTTTTAGAGTTGATGCATAAACGTAAATAATAAAAAAATATGAAATTTGAGCTTGATTAATACGTTTTTAAAAACTTTACAGCACAAAAACAAAAACAAATCGATTTAATAGTTTGCCAAATATCGTGAGAACGGGGCGAGGAGAAAATTGAAAAAAATCACACATCCATACATCAAAGTTCTCTATGAAAAGAAATATTTAAAAAAAAAAATGTTTACTTGAAAAATTTTTCCCATACATACATGGTGGAATTATACAAGGTGTTGTACGTAGTGACAGCTCATGTCGACGGCTCCCTTACAAAAGGTTGTAATATGGAAGCACGAGAGAAACGGGAAGAAAAAAAGCCCGCTTTGCGAAGTAGTACGAAATTTGGTACTATTTTTCATATCAAATTTTGCATATAAATAGTTACAAACAAACAAGAAACAAGAAACTTAACGTTTGACATCGATAGACTCCATGTTGTTACCAGCCTCCTGAGGAAAAAGTTATCCAAAGCCTCAAACAGTTGTTGACCCGCGCCGCTTCCTCGGTATTGTAAATTATTATAGGCGTATTTTGCCTCACGCAGCAGTAATTCAAGCTTCCCTCAGTGAGTGCCTGAAAACAGCGCCCATCTCGCTGTAAATCCTTTGGAGAATACACAAAGCCCACGTTTTTTGTAGAATTAAAGTTTAAAATTTGTTATTTAATTTTCCGTTGTCAACGAATAAGAATAAATTTAATGTCAAATAATTGTTCAGTGATTGCAAATCAGTTTTAGAATAGGCTCATTCCCTACTTTTAGTTTTAGTTTAGTACTTTTTTTAAGGCGGTAAAATGTAGTTTTTTCAAGAGGGAAACATCGATTTTGCTAAGGGAGTCAAGATGGCGGATTAGAGCGAGAACGCTGTCAATATCCAACACCTTGTATTATTCCACCATGCATACATACATACAATTTTTTTTTTTATAAATAAATTAGGTTTCAAAAATATGCCATCTCAGAAAAAATTAAAAAAAATCACAATGGTAGCTCTGAGTATTGCGCAATATTTAGGTATACTGTTATGGGTTTCACTCTACAATAATTTGAGTTATGAATTTTTTTTACACCGAAGCTGAGTAATCTAGAAATCTACAAATTTTGAAATTTTTATTAGAATTTTTTTCGGGTATGCAGTTAGAGAATTTTGATGTGTGTATGTGTGATTTTTTTTCAAATTTTTACCGCGCCCGTTCTCGAGATATTTGAAAAAACTATTAAATCGATTTGTTTTTGTTTTTGCGCTGTAAAGTTTTTAAAAATGTATTAATCAAGCTCAAATTTCAAGGTTATTTAGTATTTTTTTTTATGCACCAACCCTAAAAAATTTTAAACAAATTAAACGCATACAGGGTGAACCCCGTCAGTTTTGGCATGGAACGCCCCATATACATCTACATTTGTACATACATAAGTAAAAATTGGATATCGGGTGCTGGCAAAGTACCTTCCCAATTTATCATTGCACTCAATTGTACACTTCTTTGCGAAGTCGTCCATATTTGTAGATTAAATAATTTTTTTTAAGTTAATTTAAGAATTCGCAATTTTGTATTACACAACGCTCAAACTACATTGTCTTAATTGGTTTAGTCTATTCAGTTTTCGCACCGGTAGCTTTTTGCTCCGATATTTTGCAGCTCAGTGCATTATTTATTGCAAATTAAAAAAATGTGATTATGTATTTCTTGTTTCATTTATTTCATTTGTAACAAATGTTTAGCACTCTTTTAACTTAATCGATGTTGTCCTAGGACACTTTTATTACATGCTACCAACTATAGTATTAGCCAACTTTTCGCGAGTGCGTTACGTTCCCATCAAGTATGCCCACAAAATGATGGAATAGAAGCGATTTGATGGCACAAGTAATTTGTCTGTTGCAGTTTGTACGCACGATCGTAAATTTAATTTTACAGATGCAATTGTCGTCTGCCAAATTACAATGAACATTTATACATAGCACTTGCATACAGTGGTGGCCAAAACATATGGAACCACGTCTAAGTTTCTAAAATCTACATATGCATATCTTATCAATAGCGTACTATTTCTATAGATTTTTTAAAGAATGATATTAAGTAGGCTCATAAAAATTAGAAATGTTCAAAATTTTCGCTTAAAACATACGCAATTTTAAGTGCTTTTCAAAAGTGACTGAAATACCTGCTGCTTTTGAAGATTTTACTTAAGGTTTATAAAATTAGTAAAATTAAATTATAATGTTGGAAAAAACAATTTTCCGATAAAATTTCAATCGAATATCCTAAAACTAAATTTCAGCAGCATATAAAGCTGAAATAATTGTCAGTGAACGATCGTAGGATCTTCCAAGAAAAAGTACTCACCATACAGACGGTTTTATTATATTTTTTACCTTAAAAAGCTGTTAGTGTCCAGCCTATGTAAAAAATTCGTTTCAGTTCCATATGTTTTGACCTCCACTGTAAGTACATTCATGGGTACATACATATGTAGTATGTTTGTTTGTAACTGCATGCACTGGGTATTAAAATTGGGAGCAGTGTGTTAAATAGAGTAAATTTACATGACATATATATGTATGTATGTAAAGCCACCAAAGGCAACTGTGATTTCGAAGTACTATACCAGTGCCGAAATACATATTTAAGAAACCAACTCTTAACCCTAAGATGCCGTAAAATTAATGTTAAAAATTCTGTACATTCTAGGAAGGCATTTCGAAAAGCTTTCTGCTCCTCACTGAAGGGGGACCAGGACTAGCAATTTGTAAAAACTCGTTGAAAAGTGCATCATGACGCAGCTTTATGCTTTATGCTTTATGCTCCACTTTCTCTGCAAAAGTAAGGAACGACTAATGGTCTATGTGCGATCTCACGGGTCAGCCTAGCTGGCCTATCCTTATTCCTATTCTAATATCATACACCCCTTTAAAGAGATATTTTACCCTCCATCTCGATCAGAATTACCTAAAACTTGGATCCGACTGATGTATTAATTTGAAATTTAGACAGCACTGAATCATTTCCGTCAAATTTCGTTGTTTGTCTGTTTCCGCGTCACAATTTTATCTATTCTAGGACTGAACCAATTAGGCTGAATGTCGAAAGTACCAGAAAATGATGGTTCATTGTTTAAAGGCCTTGTAAATACTGTGACTGGAAAAACTTGTCTTATATTAGTAAATGGGAGATCTAAATCGAATTTGGTCATGCATGAGACCTCTTATAAAGGCACAGACAAAATACAGATGCATTGACTAAAACTCGATGATGGCACTAACGCAATCGTCAATGGTACTGGAGTGGATGGAATTTAAACAAGAAAAAACCGGCATACCTACGATGTAAATAGTTTGTATAGTTTCTAGCGTTATCTTCCGAGCTACTGGATTTAATTAGTAGAACAAAACAGATATTTTATAGCGGAAGTACACTCACACACAATAGCAAAAAAAAAAATCTTCAGTCTCTAGGCGAATATTGTATCGTTCCGAATTTCATTGATCTCAAACAACCCGTTTTTGTACTTACCCACCAGATCTCAGTTTCTACCCCCTAACATACCACCCTACTTTCAGAAAAATTAAGCTCGCCCTGTAAGAATTGTTAAATTTTTGCCAAGGAAGTGTTTTGATTGTTTTGTTTTTTTTTTTCGAAATTGAAAATAAAAATTAATTACAAAATCCTGTGGCATACTCATATTTTACAACTTCCTTAAAAAAAAATAATAAGTGTTTTTACGAGTATCTTTTTTTAATGAAAAACATACCAATGTTTCGGAAGCATAATGAAAATGTGTGTTATAGTATGTATTTATTTTATTTTCCAAAAACTTGAAGTCAGCATTTTCTTAAAACTAGAGATATGTACATATTTATATCGTACACGATCTTCAAAACCAACAGAACTCAAAATTTGGCATTTTTGAAAGTATGCATTAAAAATGTACACAGAGCTTTTACTTACTTTTCAGCAAAAGCTGGAGCAAATTTTTGTTATAATTTGTTGAAAAAACCTAGGGTTAAGTCTTCCTTGCCCGTTTGATTAGCATGGCTAATAAATAGTTTTTCGTATTTTTTGACGAACGTGTAATTTTGAGTTGTGTCACCTTTGAACATTTTGTGTGATATGTAAATACGAGAAAATTCTGACTTTATTAAATGATAGTTTTGCCCAAAAAATGCTGTATAGCTAAAACATTTAATTAGTTTAATTAAAAAAAAAATAATGAAAATAATGTAAAATCGATTAAAATTGTACGACAATTTTGAATCGAAATTTTTGTAATATTGACGATTTTTAATTTTTCTTACCGTTTGATAAATTATTTTATGATTTTTAATATTTCTTTGAATTCAAATTTTTTATTTTTTTTCTTATTTCATTTTTAAGGTCTTGAAAGTATTTGGTAGAAAAAGCGAACGTAAATTACCATAGTATATTTTTCAAAGCTCATCGGAAAAGTTTTAATCTACATTTTTATAAATTTTTTTTTATAAAAATGTTATTTTTGAGTTTTCATCAGATTTAATTGAAATTGTATTTTTTCACTAAAATTTTTATTTTCGTTGTGTTTAAATTTTTCAAACTTCACTCTCAGACTTCATTTTTTGAGTTTTAATGTAGAACATACCGTCGTTTAAAGTACAAAACCGCGTAACGTTATTTTGCCGAAAATTGGATTTGCTCACACAAGCTCTTGGCACAAGCCTTATCCATTCGTCCTGAAACATACTACATAGCCAGAAATGCGATTGCTTTGAATATAAAAAAGAGAACAAATTTAAAATATGAATGGTTTTGCTCTCTAGAAAATAATTTATGTAACCTCACATATGTACTCGGAGTGTTAAGAAATCTTTAGTTTTAACATACGAATATTTTTGAGGTGCTTAAAGAGAGTTGCCACCCGTTTAAAAAGTTAGATTCAAATTGTTTAATAAGTTTAATGAATTATTAAAATATTGGTATCACTCGAAATGGGTTTGAAATTGATTTATTTCTGAATTAATTTTGGAGGGTTACCACATGTGCAATAAATCAAATTCAACTTAGTTCATCAGTTTATTAGAATATGTATCACGATGTCAAACGAAGGTTATTTAAGAAGGTTTTAGCTTGAAAATATTTTGAAGAGGGTTGCCACCTATTTGAAAAGTTTAATATAATTAACTTGTATACAAATTATATGAAATATTACAATACGGGTATCTAATTTTGTTAACTTATACCCAAGATTTACGAAATATTAAAATATGCGTGTCAACGTCATACATTTGTACTATTCTTTCGAATTTCAAAAATGAGAGGTCGAAATAAAGACCTTAGCCTGTAGATGTGCGAAAAGATTTTAATTTTTGAAATCAGATCTTTTTTATCGGTACAGGGGGATTTGAAATTTGATGGTATTAAAAACCGACACTATGCGGGAACTCTCTCTCCCCTCACTCGGAAATGGCTGCATGGATTTAGATGAAATATGGCACTCGGATCGTTTACAACTTTGATTAACATTTGGAATAGTTTCTAGGGGTTTGTACAACCTCATTATTTTTTAAGTCTCAATTTCGTTTACAAGAATTATTAAATATTGATTTTTAATTTCTCTATCATTATCATCATCATCATTTTATCGCTTTTAAGGATTTTTATTATTTTCAATCAAAAATAATTTTTTTGCTTGCATCTAAATTTGTTCAATAGTTGCTTTCAGATTTATTTATTGGGCTTAAGGTTTCTCTTTGGTAGAAATTGCGAAAAGAATAACAGCTTTGCGGCGATTTATAACGAAAAATCTTAAAATTGGTAAATTAAAATTTTGTTCTGCGTGAAAATCGAAAATGACGACTTCGAAGTTTGCGCCTTAAATCTTTTGTTAAAATTATAAAACATTGTAGTTATTGCTGATACATGAATAAAGGGTTAGTTGTACTATCTGATCGTCCAAACAAATCGAAAAAAATAATATATTTTGCAATTTTTATATTCTTTTAAAGAAATGTTTAAGGGTTTCACTAAATGTCGTAAGTGTCTTAAGATCGTAAAGTTTTTATAATGTCACATAACGGTTATTTTTATCACACATATTTTCATTGCATGAGGATGTTCTGATGGCTTGAAATATTCTGTTTAAGAATTTCTAGTGAGTCCCCAAATTTTTTTTTGCCACATAGCATAAATCTAGTGAGAAATTACATAATTTTTGAAAACTAAACTTATTTTAGCAGCTTGACTGCATTGATCTAAAAATTTACAGCAAGTACACTGCAGAATTTTTAGCTTGTTGAACCAAACACTTAGTGCTCAACTTTATTTTTAACATATTCCTAATGACCAATATTCAAAATCTATTTTCAAATGTTATAAAATTTTATGCTCCATTTCGCTGGGTATTCAGCTGTCTCAAATTGTCTTCGATCCGCCTCTGCTCCATGGCTATGCGACTCACTAAGTGCCCTTCAGGCGAATTACTCGGCTCGAAACGCAACATTTCTTTAGCTTTCGCAGCTATATCTCGCGCATTTTCTAATTTTTCCTAAGCAAATAAAAAAAATACAAAATTTTTTTTTGTAAAATTTCCTTTGCTTTACCCAAAACGTATTTTCACCTGAAAAATCAGCGCTGCATTTCCCACCTCTTTGTCCTCATAAACCAACTCGGCCAGTTCCATGAAGGATAACAGATATTCATACAACGCAATGCCATACAATTTCGACACACCCGGCAGCACTGCACGCACCAACGGCATCAGTTCCTCGCACAGCTGCAATTTGCGCTCTAACAAATCCTTACCTGGCACACACATAGGGTTCATAAGTATGGCGCGCAGTATAGACGCAATATTCTGTTTGATTTCCACCAACACAAAATGGTTCTGATGAAAACGCGCGCCGTACTTCTCCAACAAACACTCGTACGCGAGCAGCTCACTATTGGTCTCCAACAGCGACTCGCCCACTTCCACCAGTAGTTGCTTCACCTCATGCGTCGCCATAGTGGCTGCACAACTGTTACATTGCCACTCCCCACTGCGCTTGCTGCTGCTGCTGCCGCTGCATACTACAAAACCGGCGGCACATTTCTGACACTTCAGCGAGCTCATGTGCGTACCCAGCTCGAGCGGATCACTGCAGCGCTCACACGTGCATTCGATGCCCTTCGTGAGACGTAGCTCGTGTTGTCGTTGGCTGGTGCCCATTAATGGATTCGTATAGCAGTTGTAGATGACGTCGCCAGCACGAATGCGCACCGATGCATACAACTTGAGGCGAAACGTACCTTCGTCGAAGGTGACCACAGTGTTGGGCACACAATTATGTGGCAGCTGTGCGCCACACACGTAAACCCCCTTCAGGGTGTTGCCATCGTTTGCTGTGACGTCAAAAGCGTTGGCGTCGATGCGCCAGCAAAGCGTGTGTAGCAAATCGTGGGTGACCTTGACCCGCTTGAAAGCGTTCACTAGACCCGATTTCAATATTGGTGTGATGATTTGAACTTCACGTTCCTGCCACGCTTCGCTATCCACAACAGCGGCGCCTGGCGTTGTGCCAAGTGGAGCGCAATATTCGCTGGTTTGTGGATTCTCCATGAGCAGCAGCAACTTAAGCACTCCCAATATCGCGTAGTTCTCAACTAGTAGATTTTTGGAAATTCCAGCAACGGCCGTTGCATTGCAAAAGAAATCACAGTCATAGGCATTGTGGGTGGTGCAATCGATGCAGAGCGGAAAGAACTCACATTTCCTGTATATGTAGAAATGTATATCAGTGTATTTGTGTGTATGTGTGTGTGTGTGTGGAAAATACGTGCATTGAAAGTGATAAGAGTTGATGAGTGATTACATGCTGGCTGAGCGTCACTTTACTTGCACATCACAAAGGAGTCCTGCATGCATTGGCTGCAACGCATCTGTTCGCAGTCCCAATGAGGCGTCACGAGTAGTGGCTGCTCCTCCAGAATAACATCGCCTGGTGATAGTTCTGAGGTGGCCAGTAGTTTGCTGAAATTTTTAGAAAAAATTACAAATGTTTAGTAAAAATTTATTCATTTCGATATCACGCGTGCAAGGCACCGTCCTACGGAGACGTATTTGCCGCCATAAGCAGAGAGGCTGAAATACGAAGAGCTTGAAATTCTGGCCGACAAGAAAAAAGCCCGAAATTTTTCAGATCTTCAGACCTTCGAATTGGATAGGGAAGCAAATCAGCAACGCGTTTGGTTAATAAAATTTATCTAATATCATTGACAAAGTGCTCAGACGACTTCCTTTTAGTCTGTTCCAATAGCAGTCCGGTTTACAGGATTTAGTCAGAACTTACAGGAAGTCGTTCCTATTGACACAAAACCTGTAAGTGGGAACACATTTGAGAGAGTAAATGAGCAACTGTTCCTAGTCAGAAGTTACAGGATTTAGTCCGGAGATTTTTTTCCTGTAAGATCATGAAAAGTGTCAAACGATCAGCTGATTTACATGTGCAAACAAAAACAGAAAGCAGTGAAAGCAAAGAAGCTTATATTTGTTAAAAAATGGAAGTAAACAACGAAATATTTGAATATGTATAAATTTTAATAATTATTTAGTGATATTTCAGCCAAATCGGTGTAGTACCAATGACATGTAAACAAACCGTCTGACGTTTTTACAGGAAATAGTACTTTTTGCGTTCCTATGCACTTCTGCATCTGTTCTCCTTTTACTCTCATTTGAGAGCGTAAAATTGTAGTTTGACAGTTCCACAGGTTTTAGTCCGAAGTTCAAAGGAACAGACTATTTGCTAATAGCAGTAACCTCTACTTGAAGCTGCAGAAATCTAGTAGCTTACAACGGTAGCTCTTCCTTACAAAACAACATCTTCCAACTCTTCAGTCAACAACGACCCGCGAAAATAGTCACACGGAGGCGGAACCGATACGCACAGATAAATACCAAGTCGGAAGTTTCCAAAGATTTCTAATTGACTTAGTCGGAATACCCCCGTATGAGGTCATATAAAGAGTCTAGTTACTTTTGTTTTCCTTACTAAGCGTTGAAATTAGAAACAAATATGACCAAGTCGAGTCCGTTGAAAATAATAACCATTGAGTCTATTGTCACGTAACACTTTTCATTACAAAGTTCATTGACCTCAAGTACCATGTTCTAATACTCTCACACCAGATCTCAGTTCGTACCGCCCTAACGTCAGGCCCTTTTACATGTTTCGTCATATTTTCGGCATTCACCGTCGGATCTCAAAGTATTGTATAGTAGTGTTTGTCTTGAGGAAACAATTTTATTTTTTATGGATAATTTCATTGACCTCAGGTACCCCGTTCTAGTGCTTATCTACCAGATTTCAGTTCCACCCTAATGTCAGTAAATTAAAGCTCACCAAATACTACCAAACTTTTGCTAATTCAATATTTCGATTATTCCCGTGGATCTGTTTTAAAAAAAAAACTCTTATATGCTGAATTTAGATGCTACCGAGAAATGTAAAAAAGCGTCCCTGCCATTATTGCAAATTTTATATTTTTTTTACAAATTTTATTACAGTAAAACCTGCTTTAGTACCTCACGAAAAATGTCCGCTTTTTGAGGTACTTAGGCGGGTTGGGTACTTAAAGGAACCCGCTTAAGTACCTCGATGCGGGTACTTAAGAGAACATAATTACTCATGTAGTTACATCTTCTTGTTAACTTACATAAATACTTGAATAACAACATTTAATGAAGTATACGTAGTTTAAAACCAAAATCGTAGCATTATTTAAACACATAAACAATTGAAGAAAAACTTTATTAAAAAAATATTTAGTGCAATGGTCTGTCATTTTTACAACAATTAAAATGTTTAAAAAGTCAAGGTTGGACATATCATTTTGTACCAAATTCAAATGATATTGTTTGCCACTTATGTTTATTTATTAATTTTTAAGGTTTTTCAATCAGTGCAGTTCATTCCCTAACAAATACCATATAAACCTAAGCTTAAGATTTTGTAGAACACTTAAAACAAATTCATCACAATTTCAAACTTTTTTCTCAGAAGTGTTTTTTGAGTATACTGTTTTATAGTCCATTCAATTTTAGTGCAATAATGTGCAAGTTTCAAGTGGCTAAAAGTTACCGTTGATTTTTTAGAACTCTTTTACCGAATTTGAAAATACGTAAATATTTTAAGGAATTTTAAAAGAGCACTTAAAAGGGGAAAATTATAAGTAAAATTGTAAATGGGGCACGAAAAATTGAGGTACTTAGGCGGGTTGGGTAAATAAGCGGGGAGGTACTTAAGAGAGGGATTTTATTCTGATTATATTAAAAAATTCACAGTGTCCAAAAATGTTGGTTACTTAAGCGGGTTAGGTACTTAAGCGGGTTTCACTGTATATGTTATTGTCCTTTTCCGGTTTTTCCCAACACTTTTCTTTAGCTGCTATGCTGTTTATTATTATTTTTTTTTTGTTAGTAGTTTTTTTACCATAATTCGCCACTAAATTTCGTATCTCCACAAACCTTGGAAAACCTGCATTTTTAACAATTTTTACTTTTTCACTGTAACTTTGCATAGCTGCATAAAAAATTTATATAAAATACTAAAATGCTTAACGTTCCTTAGTTATTGTCTACAGCAACCGCAATCGATTCGAAATTGAGCAATATAAAGTAAACAAGAAGCAGAAACTAAGTGAGCTAAATACTTGGGGTTTCAAATACCCTACAATGAAAACTTTGGTGCCATAAAATACGAGAAAACTTCGTTATTGTGTGTGCGTGCTTTATTTAAATTTTTATTTTTTTATAATTTTTTTATTAATTGATTTAGTACTAAAGTATTTAATTTTTTTGTATTGAAGCAGAAATCCCTTGGCACATGTTACTTATGAAATTCTACTAATTAATTTGCTCAATGAATAGTTTGCCTACTTTTGTAGGGCATCTTAAATTCCTCGCAACAATCTACAATTACTTCTTGTTTTGTTTGTCTGAAACGGGTGAAAAAAAACAATCTCTATGTATACTAATTGAAATCATGAAAATTACCTCAATAATAGCCTTACCACAAGTTGTCAGTTTAGCTGATTCTGCTTTAATAATCTCCAATTTATGGCTATGTAATTGATAAGATTTGATGTACTATCAAAATCTGGGCAATATTGAAACCACACTTATAATGCCCAATCATTAGTTGGCTCATGAGGGCCTTCAGTATTTTCCACAGTATCACGGAGATGTTAGCATCATTCTTCTTCTCCAAACGCGCCCACCTGTCTCTCTTTAAAATTTCGCCTTATTTTTTCCATTTTTTCTTTTGAATCTTTGTCTCTTATTAATCCCTCACAATTATTAAATATTTATCAATTTTTTCCTACAGAAGACACTTTTAAAGGCTACTAAGTCGAATACGCCTTGAAAACTAGTGAAAATAGTGGCAACTCTGCGAGCTAATTACCCGCCGCGCAAACGAAAGAAAAGCCAATATGTGCGTTAATTTAAAATTATTTTTAAATACAATATATGTAGTATGTACACTGCCGGCAAAACGTATTGGCACAGCGAATTTTGCACAGTATATGCACCAATTACTATTCTAATATTTTTCCGCTATTAATTTTATAAAAATATGGTACATTCAACAACAAAAAAACACAAAAATATAATTTATAAACTTTGTGCAAAACTCGTGAAAATTCTATAAATTTTCAACTTTTTAATCAGATTTTTTAGAATTTTCTGGGTATGCAGTTTTGTAGCCCATTAAATTCTAGTATAAAAATGCAAGCTTGTTTCGAACATTTTTTTTTTTTGTATGGAAGAGACTGCGTGAAAAAAATTTCCAAAAATCAACGGTAATTCGTAGCTACTTAGAAGTTCTACGGTTGTAAAAAAGCAGCTGTGCCAATACTTTTTGTAGGCAGTGTATGTATGTATGTGTGCACACAACTTGTCTGGTCTCGCTTTGATATGCTTTGTGTTTAAATTTTTTATCTTATATTCTGTTGCAGTTAGCAGCGAACTTTAAAGGGATATTTTTAGTTTTGAAAAGCAAACAAAAATACAAGCAAAAAATGGTTCAGCCTTTCGAGGAACTATCACTTTTGCAACACATTTAGGTATCGTGATGTAGCTGAATGCCTGATATACAAACATGCATTCGTACATGTGGTATGCCAGAAGGAAGAAAAACCAAATTAATGGCCAGCATTTATTTTAGTATGATTTATTATCGAATTTGTTTTGTTTTTAGTTTACATGTCACCGTTCGGTTAAATGGGCTGACGTAGAATTTGACGCGGTTGTGCATACATATTTGCATACCAACATAGCTGTTTATTTCATATATTAAGTATGTTCCAATACCATAGGATTTAATCAGAAATAGTCAGATTTGGTCTAAAAGTAGTACTGACTAAATCATGGAGTCTGTTGTGCACTCTGCTCACATCTATTAAACTTAAAGCTCTCAAAAAGATCAGAAGAGCTTCAATGTGATCGCCACATAAATAAGGTCTAGGTTTCGCTCGCGCCCTCCTGGAAATGGCATCGCATTCGACCATGTAGATGGTTTAAAGGTGTATCTATCGTCGAGCCACAGAAACGCCAGATACCGTTTGTCCAAATATCCAGTTTGTGCAAGTAAACCTTCAGTCTGCAGTGTCCTTTAAGATTACCTGTGACGATTTTTACTTTGAAGAACTATTATAAGTTGGATTCGTTTTAAGTTATGTCTCCCCAAATAAGCACCTTGTCTGGCGTAATTTTGTTGCGCCGCCCAACTTACATATTGCCAGATAGGACTCGGGGTCTGTTGAAGTTGTAGCCGCCGCTTCCCCGGCTAGTTGGCTAGCTATCTCATGTGATTCTGTTCCCTTATGGCTTGTAACCCATAAAAGATGGTTGCTATTGTAGTTTGTCTGGGTTGGAATACTTTCCTGGAATATTTTCCTTGTTTTAAAAGTTAGCATGGTATTGGTCATCGTTAAAAGTTCTATCTATGCCTGTAACGTAAAACGATACACAGAGCTATGAAAAAAAGTATACCAAAATGATCAAAACAATGAGCTGAGTCGGTTTAGCCGTGTCCATTGTTGTTGTTATTGTAGCGGCTACTAAGCGTTCGGGGCGGTTCGTCCATCAACGTTGTCGTCTGTTTCAGCTAGGAGGAGGCCCAGGAAGTGTGCTACTTCCAGAGGGGCTGTCCATAGGGACAGGGGCGTTAGCTGAGTGGGATTCTCAGGGCATGTGAAGAGGTGCCGGGAGTCATGTGGCGACTCTCCACATGCCGGGCATTGGTTGGGCACATCCTCGTTGATTCTGCTCAGGTAGCCTGCTGCAATAGCCAGAGCGAAGTTGGGCTATTATAGTGCGGGTCTCCCGAGGCAGACAAAGTTCTGTCCCGTCCACGTCCGGTGCCGTGTCCGTCCGTCTGCCTGGTTGAACGCCATCGAGTTCCTCAGCTTTCTTGATATCCGACTGAAATGTGGTAAGCGAGTATATTTCTATTGGGATACGATTTGCACACAATTGGGATACGATTTGCACCAAATTTTGGTAAATACCCAATCGTGTGACATTGCCTCTAAACTTGTATTTATACGGATGTTTTTGAAGAATGAACTATAAAAAACTAACCAAAATTAAATAACAGCAAAAACTTGTGAAAATTTGGTGCGACTATACTTTGTCCGACTACTGTACATAAGTTGACTATGATTACTCGGCCGTGCTATCATAGTAGCACAATGCCACTAAGCGCATTTTAAATTTTCAGGCAATAGCCTCATGCGGTTATCTATTATATATTTTGTTATTTGTGTGAAATATTTAATTTTTTATTAGGTTTTTTTCTTTTGATCAAAATATGTTGAAATAAAAGTGAAACTAAAAAAAACTTTTGCCAGAAGCCCTTGCCTCCCAAAAAAAAAATACTGGCTACGGCCCTGGTTTTATATTTTACTAAAGTACACCCTTCTTTCTCTCTCTCTCTGTCTTTCAACAATCGGCGAATGAATACTATCGCATAAAAAAAAACATTTTAAGATTGGCTTTAAATCATTTTTATTTCAATACTGTTAAAACGCCAAATGATCTTCCATTTAGTTTCAAACTACAGTAGTTTCTGTTTTCTTTTTATATTTTTGTTTTTGCCTTTGCCTTATGCAAAATATAATCAAAATATGAGTACATTGACGTTTTCGCCGCAAATATTATTAATAAAAAAGTAGCGAACAACACACAATTAATAATGGTAGTTGGTTGTTTGCTGATATTTCCGGCTATTGATTTTAACCAATTCAAATATTTTATTTTGTATTTTTGGATATTTACATATTGTATGTACGTATACTTTGATTTAAAACATATTTTCAAGAATCTACGTTCACTGCCTTGCCGTTTGCCTTTTTTACGCCTTTTTTCTTTTTCTTCTTTTTGTTATTATTTAATGTGTACTATCTGTGAGTGTGCAGCATGGTTGGTATGTGAAATATTTAAAGAATGTATTTAAAAATGTGTTCAGTAAAAAATTACAACGGAAAGTTAGGATTAAAAATTATCACGACGTCTTCGACGTCAGAACTTATGATCTCCAACTGAATACGTGTATATAACTGTATTTAATTAATGTTACATTTTTTTTTGCAACATTTTTTTAATAGAAAACCACGATTGCTTTTACTGCTTTTCTTTATATTAGTATGTATGTATGTACTTAGTGACATTTTTTAGCATACTCGTTCACTGATTTTTTTTACATTTTCGTCACTTGTTTCTCATTCTACTTACACATTCCTTATTTTATGTATTCAAAGGAAAAACACTACAGTAAAAGTATGTATGTATTACATTTAAAATATTTTATCATTACTATTTGCGTTTGCCACTACCATTTAAACATCTCGTGGCTTTTTGTACTCTACGTGCTTTTTTTGTCTCGTGTGACGTGATGCCCTGCAAACTGGCAACATGTTCCACGGTTGCCTCCTCGACGCCACTCTGCTGCTTGTTGGCGCCTCCACTAACACCACAGCCTTCACGAATGCCACTATTTGTAGATGGGTCGCAGCCGAACCCTACATCTGCGGAGCATTTTGCAGCGACAGCTGCCGATGGCACGATTACTGCATCAACATTGTCATTACAAGCTACGCTCTGTCCTTGTTCTGGAACATTGCTGCCGATCTTGGTGGCTGAGAGCATGGCCGGACTGACAATTACGCTCCTGTGCGAACGACCACCAACATGCGCCAATTTCGGGCTAATTGCGTTTTCATTGCCATTAAAATTCACTGGTGTTGCGCTTTCTACCAGCGCATCGCTTACAACGTCTCCAAAGGCTTTAGCTACTAATGTGGCTGGATTACTTTGTTGTTGCTTTTGTTGCTGGTTATAATAACTGTTGTTCACGCTGCTACTGCTCGCAGCGCTTGCAGTAGTGCGTATTATATTTCCGCCACGCACATAATTCAAGCGATTTGTCATTTCGCTTGGCAACAACTGGGTAACTGCATCGTTTTTTCTGCCATCGACGTCAGCAGCGTTGCCGAATTCCGGGAGACTGTTACTGTGTGCAGTGGCATTTGAAATCATGCTCACCAGATTGTCGCTACCGTTGCAACAATTACCGTTGCTGCTGCCGGCGTAAATATTAAATGCACTGCTGCTGCCCTCAATACATGAATTGCTGCACCCCGATGAGCTGGCGCCGTAATGCTGGCGCTTTAGTTGATTTTTTGCCACCGAGCTGTTGACAGCCAACAACTTGGCGGTTGTTTCCTTATCTGGGAATGCGAAAACTGAAGCTTGAGACGATTGTGTAACTGATGCCGTCGATGTTGCGTTGTGCTCATTCATACTGGCATCATTTTCAATATCTGTGTCGTCGCTCAAGTTGAGTATTATATCCTCTGGTTTGACACCTTGATTGACAAGTGCTTGGAAATCTTCAGGTGGCGGGAGTATAGGTGCCAGCTTCTGGCCGCATGATGTGCAAATCGGAAGGGCTGGGCTCTTGGAGCGCCAATATTGCAATTCAGTTTTACATTTATTGAGTTCCTGGAATTGGAAAAAAGAAACATAATAGTTAAACGAACTTTAACTTGTTTCGCGATGCATGCACGTACTTGCATGATTCGATGTTTAAAGGAAAATTAATAAATAAAAAATAAAAATAAACAATTAAAAAATGAAAGCAAAATACCCAAACTGAGTACAGTTGAGCATACATACCTGTGGGTCCATTTAAAAAAGCTTAAGAGCCTTTAGAAGGTTTGAATTAAAAAATAATCATTTTCCCTTGAAAATGTTTATATTTTTATTCAGCTTCTATTAAAAGGGTATCTTGAACTACACCTATGGGTAGTTAAACGTTAAAATATTATTTGAGAACCGAATGAAATGTTTATTTTAAGGGAAAATGACCTATACCGACTTAGGCTGCTTTAATTTAACGGGCGCTATGTATGTACATTTGTAGTGAGTATTGCATATCATTTTAATGTTTTTTTGTAAGCAGATTACTAAAATATCATTTTTGAAAATAAATGGTGCCGTCAAAATTTATTAACAAAAATTTCCGTTTAAGTTCATTTCCTCACCTGCAATAAAGTGGAAAATTTTCGTGCCATCTCTTCGTTTTTCTTATCGTTCTCATCCAAACGATTTGCATACTCCAAGGTTTGCTTTTGCTGCTCAGCCATCAATTTCTGCTGCTCGGCTATTTGTTTGCCCTGCTCCGATGATTTTCGCTTGCAATTACGCAACTCATTACGTAATACGGATAATTGATTATTGTAAATTTTCATGCCCTGCTTAATTTCACGTATACCCTTACGCAATACCATATTGCTTTGAGGTGGAGACGATGAAGAGCTATCAACATGATCGACGGATGCAACCAAAGCAGCTAAAAAAAACCGCGACACATTGTAAATACATATTACTGTATTAAAGTAGTCTATCTTATATTTCCTACTTAACTAGGTATGCATATGTACACATTCAAGTACATATTTTTAGACACTTACGCCTTTTTGTGGTGGTGGGTAATTTGAAAAAGTCCTTATTAAAGTAAGCAATATCGGGCAATGTTTGTTCAATGCGATCCCTGAAATATTCCATGGCCATTGTAGAGAGATCAAAAAGTTCATCGGTAACCCGATATGGCCGCTCTAGACGCGGTGTATTTCTTATATAAGTTAAAATGTTATATACTTCATCTAGAATCTAAAAAAAATATAATATATTTTAATGTATAAAAAATTAGGAAACGCATTTGATCCAATAAAAAATATTGTATGCAAAGCAATCGACTTACGGCTCCCGGAAAGAAACAACAATGGCCACGTTCGATATGTTTACCAAAAGTCATTTGCAGCAGCGACAGCCGCATATAACAAGTTTCAATGATATCGCATTCGCAAGCTAGTGGGTGGTTGCGACGTGCAGATTCACGACGCGGCATGTTCGCTTTAATGGCATGAAAACGATTGTATGTTTGCGTAATCAGACGTGAAAAGGTTGAGTTCAAAATATCCATACAAACATCATTCATTTTATGCGACACCTGAAAGTAGATACATAATTAAAAGCATATAAATAATTATCTTTTAAATTATATTAATTAAATGAAGGAATTAATTTAATTTTAAATTAAATTGTGTGAATAATAGAAGTATTATTTGTCGTGCGATGGGGTATAAAAATAAGATAACTCCGCTTTAAATAAAATAAAAAAAAACTACAGAATCTTCTATAGTAGATCAGTACTACTTGTGGCTTTGTTGTAGGAACCCTGTTCTAACATGAATCATCAGCATGTTCAGTAGCTCGTTTCTGTAACTATTCTCTACCGATTATTTCTGTACTGGTAGAGAATATACGTCATGCTCTACTACTCATTAGCAGTAGAGAACACTTCATATATGAATTCCTCTTGGTAGACAATTGTTACAGAAACGAGTTAGAGGGCGTTGACGTCGTTCCCACGACAGTCGGGTCTACGTAACCGGAACGACCCAGATTTATATCTGGCCAAGGACTGTCACTCCAGCAACACTCCCCAAAAAGTCTTTGGGGAATTTGTATGCTGCTACAACAACAACAACAGGGCGTTGACGTTGAAATGTTGCCGGTTGTAAGGGAAACATTGACCTTACATTTCGACAGTCTACGAAAGTTCGAGTTATAGAAAAGTACTTTTTGTCGATTTTTATAGCCCAACCAATGCCTAGCAAAAATTTTTAAGCTTTTATTAAACCATTATTATCAGGTGCAATAACAAATATTATCCTCTGCAGAATCTCCAATTTTAAAAGATTACTTATGAAAAAAACTGGAAGACAAATTGACAAATACCTTTTTTTAGAATACTTTGTTTCTCAAGTTGAGGTTAAGTTGATTTCAACTGAAGTCATTCTCAAATTTAAATGTTATTTGGAAGCTATAATATTTATAATTGTTTTATAACTTACGACTCTTAATTGACCAACTTTTCGATAGCCCACATAGGTAAATATTTTTGCTAAAACTTCAATCGGCAAATCAAACAACTGCACTGGATCTGTGTTTTCATTTGTGGCACGGGCGACGGTGTCACTAATTTGAAGTTGGTTTTGTTGTTGTTGATGTGTATTCTGGTGATGACCGCAATGGCGTGTTGTCATCGATGCCACACCTGTGGACGTGATAATAGTGGACAATGTTGGTGCTCCCACCACGCCACGTTGAGTTTGTGTAATCATTGCTGTGAGTCGGGCGGAATCTGGAGCGGCTGCAGGGACGCCAGAATTGTGACTGAGTGTGCCGTTGCCACTACTTGTGGCCATTTGTCGTGTCGATACCATTTTGCCGTATAGGAAACTCTTATTTGAATGCCCTTTATTATCCTCTATACATGAGTAGAGTTTATTTGTGGCAAATATTCAGTTTTGATGTTATGTTCCACTGAAATCTGCAAGAGAAAATAAAGATTATTTTGCTATTTATAAAGGCAGCTCTGTAGAAAAATCACAAGAAATACATAGTTTCCAGTATTTCTGTAGATCATTATGAACCAAGAGTATCGTGAAACGTTTTGCGGTGTATTTAATTTTATTCAATATTCCTATTTTAGCTCTTAGTTGTTTGCTTATTCTGTTTAGGTTTGCTTATTCTGTTAGGTAATGTTCCCCAATAATACCAGAGTAATTACATGTAAAAACAACATTTTTAACAGCATTTTAGCATATCACGGAAATAAAAAAATTTAGAACATCAGCGCTTTTATAAACAACCGACTAGCGCGATCTCCATAAATGTTTCAAAATAAAAAAATACGTGTCCCTTTTTTTTATCACAAATAACAATATTTTGAAGTAGCGTTTATGAATTTCCAAAAAAAAATTTCTTTCAACCACTCGAATTCAAATGACAAAAAATTGGATTATGAACCAAAAAAAAGAGCATCGTGAAACTACTAGTGTTCGCTATGCAAATAATTTGTACAAGTTGGTACCAATTGTTACCAAATCGTGTTCGTTTAGCCAAAAACCCAGTAAAACTCGCAAGGAGAGAGCACAATTTTGACATTTCATTTGGAGGAGAAGTTGTAATTCGTGCTGGGAAAATTTTTGCCAGTAAGAATTTGCAAGCAGGATTGTGGCGCATGGTTGCATTTTTGTCAACATTAATTTGAATCAACGAGTTCGTTAACTTTAAAAATGAACAATCTTGTTGCGATTTACTAATGAAAGAAGGATGTAAATATTCGTTTATTCAATTAATTACATTAATTCCAAACATTTGAAAGGTACTGGGCTGAAAAAGCTGTATTCGTAATCGGAACGCACTCGACACCACTGTCGATATAGGAAACCCGATAGTGACTTCCACACTGAAATTGAAGCGTATGTTGAAGAAAGTCGGAATAAGAAGAAATATACATATAGGTCCAGTTTTGGTTTCCACCTGAAATAATTAAAAAAATTTATTATGCTCGAAATGCAACCGTGGACGCCAGCTGGCAGTGAAGCTTGCTAATGTTTGCTAATTCCTGTTCGCGCAAAACTTAGTAAGTTTCTCTCTTTGGGAGAGTAAGGTACCTTGTTCTCTGAATTTTGTTACTGGCTAATTATTACTGGCAGTTGCATAGCGAACACTCCTACTGTTTGCGGTGTACTTCAGTTTGTTCAATATTCCTACTTTAGCTCCCAATTATTTGCTCATGTGTTTTTTTTTAGCTATATTGTTTATATTGATATTGCTGATGTTTTGATTACAATTGCAGTTGCTGCTGCAAAATGAATTTGATTACCAAATTATCCTGCTGCTGTTGTATTTGCTGCTGCTTGGCTCAGCAATTTTCCTTATATGCGCTTCCACTTCACCAGCATTGCGTGCGTTTTTGGAGGCTTCTGTTCCCGCACCGTTCTTCCAATAATTGTATCACTTTAGTAATCTGGAAATACATACATACATATGTATATTCAGTCAATGTGGCTATTTTTGGCTATTTTTTTCTTTTGTTTAATGTTTATTTTTATTTTTAAATATCATTATGTAACAAAATATAAGTCTAAATTTAAACTGTGTGGAAAAATTAAAAAAATTTGAAAAACTCAACAAATTTTTACAACAAACTTTTTATTAAGAATTTTCTGAAAAATTCAAAGTATGCAGTTTTAAAGCCCATTCAATTCAGGTGCAAGTTTCAAGTGGCTAAGGATTCGCGTTGATTTTTGACAAATTTTGCCGATGGAGTTATTTTCTTCCATACAAAAAAATTTGCGAACTTTCTATCAAAGAAAATGCGTGACAAAATCAGCAAAAATAAATAAAAAATCATCAAAACTAAACGCGAATTCTGATCCACTAGAATTTAATGGGCTATAAAATTGCATGCAAAATGCGTTGCAAAAAAAAAAAAAAAAAATATTCCGAAGAACTGATAACCTTCTCCTTTTTTGGAAGTCGGTTAAACTGTATATGGGGCGTTCTATACCAAAACGGACGGGGTTCACACTTCATGTGTTCGATTTGTTTCAAATTTTAAGAGTTGATGCATAAACATAAATAATAAATAAATGTGAAATTTGAGCTTGATTAATACATTTTTATAAACTTTACAGCACAAAAACAAAGACAAATCGATTTAATAGTTTTCCAAATATCTCGAGAATGGGGCAAGGAAAACTTTTGAAAAAAAAATCACACATACACACATCAAAATTCTGCATGAAAAGAAATATTTTTAAATTTTTTTTTTTATAATTTTTCACATACAAATTTTTTGATAAAAAAAAACAGTTTTTGAAAATATGCCATCTCAAAAAAAATTGAAAAAATCTGAATATTGCGCAATATTTAAGTATTATGGGATGCACTCTACAATAATTTGAGTTAGTTACTCACACTCACTAAATGTGAAAAAAATTATATTTACGAGATAATATCTATTTAAATAAATATACATATAACATAAAAGCTATTTATTTGAAGTTAGTTAAAAGAAATAATGGCAGAATGTCTGTTTGTGTATGAATTCATTTGACACGGCTACCAAACTTTGCGGCCAAATTATCAGTGAAGCAAAACAAACAGAACGGATAATAATTGTACCAGATTTCTATTAGGATCACATCGTTGTTGTTGAATTTGCGTGCAAAATTTTTGTGCTTATCCCGATTATTGCCCAAGAAAACATAGCTAGGGCTGCGACAGAGTTGCTTTTGCTTCAGTTTATCAAGTTTATTTAGTGAAATTTTCATTTTCATTTCATTTGGAGAAATTTATCAGAAATGTGTAAACGAGTTTAAGTACACATTTTGACAGTTCATTTATAATGGTAATTTTTTAAAATATATTAAAAAAAAACTGTTTTTATTAATAAAAAAATCCATTTTTGGAGGTATTTTCAAATCCGTCCACCTAACGTAAATTTTAGTATTTTTGCGAGATATTTATATTTTATAATTCCAGTGAAAAATAGTACCGGTTTTTTTTTTGTATGGGGAGTGATGCAATCTACTATACATAAGTTGACTATGATTACTCGGCCGTGTAGTAGCACAATGCCACTAAGTGCATTTTAAAATTTTCAGGCAATAGCCCCATGGGATTATCTATTATATTTTTTGTTGTTTGTGTGAAATATTTTATTTTTATCGGTATTTTTCTTATAATCAAAATATGTTGAAATAAAAGTAAAAAAAAATTGCCCACCTTTTTGGAGAGGGAATGAACCGCCATTGACAAAAATGCAACCCCCGACCACCTAGGTCCCCTATGGTTCCCTAGGGACCCCTTAGAAAATTGCCAAAAATCACAATTTTCATTTGCGTTTATTCGCTTGAAAAATGTTAAATATTCATTTGCACAATACATCTTTATATACACATTTTTATATACAAGACATTTTTATAAAACACCCAGTAACCAAAATAGACATCACTGGGGCGGCAGCCCCAGGTTTACCACACAGAAAAGGAATTATAGTTACCTCATCCTTTCTCAAGGTTACATCACTGGGGCGGTAGCCCCAGTTAGGTCACACAGAAAGGAGAATTTTACGTAGTAAGGGTTATAATCCCTAAGGGCGGCCGAAGGCCGCCTACGCAGAAAGGAATTCTACGCAAAAATACTGTGAACGCAAGTAAAAATTGCGATTTTTGGCCATTTTTCTACGGGGTCCGTAGGGAGCCATAGCGGGCCTAGGTGGTCGGGGGTTGCATTTTGTCAATGGCGGTTCATGCCCTCTCCGAAAAGGTCGGTTGGAGGTGCAACGCCCACTCCCCCTTCGCCCACCGCACCTTTAACGAACGGCCATAATGGAAAGTTTCCCCTCCAATTACAACTCCTCACACAATTTTATGAAAAAAAAATTAAAATATAAGTCACGACTTTTTCCATTTCATCAACGATGTTGTTACGTCTTTTTGCATTTCAGATGACTGTATGTAGATTATAAACAGGGACAACACGTTATAATGGTATCGAGAGTGCCCAAATACTTTTTTGATTGACTGAAAAGAGAAGCACGCCCCTGTTATTCACACCCGCTACCATTAGAACGTGTTGTCCTTCCTTATTATCTACGTTCTTTTCTTTTCCTCTTAAAGATAGCATAATTCCACCATAGTGCAATTATTCTTACCGGCACTGTATTTATATGTACATATACATGTATCTTTATTTTGGATGTACATAACATCGAAATCTAATAGATGCAGTCACATACATATACACGCATATTCTACTATACATTTTTATGTCCGTGATTTAATAGCCCGCATCTCATATTTTGTATCGTGAATTGCTAGAAAAATTCTAAGTTTGGTTATATCCACCGTACTTTTTAATCCCGACCCCTCAATCTATTCTAAAGCATATACTACTAAACTCTGTTGTAGTCTATTGAAAGCACCTCATCTCCACAGTTTTCTTTTCAAATAATTACTATATCCCACTCTAACCAAAAGAAAACGAGCACAAAACAACCGGCCACGAGAATATAGAAAGACTCATATAAAGAACAGCAACCGATAAAAAGAGTAAATAAACTCAACAAAGCAATGACAATGAGGAAAAAATAGTTAGACAAAATATATGTAAGCAAAGCACATAGAAAACAGCTATGCACCTTCTTAGTTTTCTAAGTTCTGCGATGTATGTATGTAAGTGAAATAAAGTAAAAACATTGCCAACTGCAATTGTGGATGACAACTTTTTATATCAGAAATTTCATTGAATGGATTCTAATATATAAACTATGTAGGTAGTTGGATTAGTAACAAAATATAGTAATTATATTATCAAACTACAGTTCTAGGTCTGTGAACGCGTCTAAACTGAAAAAAAACGATAAAAGCTCAATTTACGCAACTAAAAAAATTGTGAAAATTTTTAATTGAACGTCACGTTAATCACTCAAAATTTAAATTGAATCATGATTCAACTACTATTGAGGTAGGAATGTTCGATATTTAAGAAAGTATCGGTATTATGACTCGATTTAATTCATTGCATGTAAACTCGATATGGCGATATATCGGGCTGAACAATATCGATATCGGAAAAATCGATGTTGAAAATCCTACTCCCAATAGAATAGAATATTAGACCTTCTTATCAACTCAACTAATTGTGGTATTTCCATCTTATATATTTACTGAGGATTAAAACGACATACCGGTCGACTCAAGCGGTTTATCAAACTTAAGAGCTAAATAAAGATAATAAGAGTTCTATCTGGATTTTTTCGAAAATTCCCCCTTGGCCCCTCCATTGCAACTACAATATAAGTTTGCATCAAAACATTGTTATACCATTAAAATCAAAAAAAAACTTAAGGGTGCGTTCAGAGATGCGTCAAGCCAAAGCACCAGTCTATCTAATCTAGCACCAGTCTCTTTTACTTCTAAACTATTAGGGCCGTTTTGTTGTTGTTGTAGCGGCCGTTTTCATCATCTCTGGTTAACACTAATCCCCAGTTAAACATTGTTACCGACGTTACCGACCCAATGTTAATGTCGAATTCCGAAACGCCAAGTCTAAGCCGCGTAGAATTAAACAGGGGGTCCCCCAAGGCGGCGTACTCTCCCCGACACTGTTTAATATTTACATGGCCAAACTCCCTCCGCCGCCAGCAGGAGTAAACTTGGTAAGCTACGCCGATGACTGCACAATAATGGCAACTGGCCCCAACATAGACAGACTTTGCGAACAAATAACCGACTATCTCACCGATCTTTCCAATTTCTTCACTGCAAGGAGCCTCCAAATCTCCGACGCCGGTCAGTGGCTAACTACGCGGCACCAGTGTGGACGGCGGTGACAAGCGTCACCCAATGGAGGAACCTCCAAACCTGCCAGAATGCAGCTCTACGTACGGCTACAGGTTGTCATCTCATGTCGTCCGAGCATCACCTCCATGAAGAAAGCCAGATGCTGGCGGTGAAAGAGCACAACACCATGCTGTCGAAGCAATACCTCGTAGGCTGTCACCGAGGGAATCACCCCAACAATGCCTTGCTTCGTAACGAACCGCCCCCACGACACGTGAGACGACACCTGCACGACTGGAAGGCAGACATTGAGCCGTACGTAGACCATCCATTCGACGCAGCAACATACAGAGCGGCGCTCAACAGCCTATACAGCGATGCGGTCAGAGCGAGCCTCAGTACGCGCAATGACAACATCGTCTTGGGCGGTCGACCGCCGCCCATAGATTCAGAGGAAATAGAGCTGCCGAGAGAGACCAGGTGCACCCTAGCACAACTCCGTTCTGGGTGGTGTCACCGACTTAACAGCTACCTCTCCCGGCTGAACACACAAGTGGCAAACACATGCCCTGCATGTGGGCAAGGTCCCCACGACACCCAGCACCTCTTCACGTGCACCTCCAACCCTACGACCCTGATACCAGAAGCGCTCTGGACCGCGCCTATCGACGCAGCCCGCTTTCTCGGCCTCAGGCTTACAGAGTCGGAGGATGAAGACGACGATACATGACATAATCTGGGGGGTTGAGCACTGCTGCTACAACAACAACAACAACCCAATGTTAAGTGCCGGTTGTTTTGTCCGGTTATCACTACTTGCCGGTTAAACATCATGCTTATAACATGTGATCGACAAAGCAGTCGTTGTATTTAACCGGAGATTCTACCTCTGATTTGTGCAAATCAGACATTGAACAACCGGCCCGGAATGAATGGAGTCAGCACCGTCGGTAACGATGTTTAACTGCGGATTACTGTTATAGGGAATTTACATGATTCAACTTTCACAGGCGAATAGTTGAACCAAAAGTTGAACAAAAGTAGGGAGCCGACCAACTTCATTGTAAGCGATTAGTTGAAAGGCTGTTTACACCAGGCGATTGTTGCTTTCAACTAAAAATCGCCTGAAAAATCGCCTCATGTAAATTCCCTATTAACCAGAGATGGTGAAAATGGCCGTAAGGGATGGAAATGACTTATTTATGCATCTAAGTTCCAATTAGACATTTATCCGTGTTTGCGCGTATTGCACATTTCCATCAATTATAATTTAGAAATAAATGCGTCTGATGCTTTGACTTGATGCATTTCTGAACACACCCTAACTGGGCGTATTCTGACTTATGCCGATAGTTTGGAATCAGTGCATGTATAGGTATATGTATATCGGAATTAATGATGTGTTTTGTTATACATTTCAAATAAATGTTATGAGTTTTTACAAGAATATTAAGTTTTCGGTGTTAAACGATTTGGTTAAAATGTGACTGTTGTCTTATAGTTAAAATTGTTTTTTTTTTTTTAATTTGCATTACGAAAACGGGAAATATTCTTGTAAAAACGCATCACATTTATATAAAATGTGCAATAAAACACATCATTAATACCGATATACATATATACATGCATTGACCAAAAAAACTATCTCTGCTTAAACCGCAAAAAGCAAATACAAATTACGACGGTTATGTCTATTCCCCACTGTATTAGGTTATATATCTACTCTTAAGCTCAAGGCGAATTTGTACAAGGTGGTGTTGATGGCAAATTAAATTTTCGCCGCGGTACTACTGAATGTCAAAATGATGTTTGTTGCAAAATGAATTCGCCTTGTTTACAACAAACACATCATTTTGACATTCGGTAGTACCGCGGCGAAAATTTAATTCGCCATCAACACCACCTTGTATAAATTCGCCTTGCTTAAGCTAATACGATATAGGTTATTACAGAATAAGCACCTTCAACTTCAATATTCAATATCCTATAATTGGTGTGTACCTAAATCCCGTAAATTGTTTCCACCAAACTACCGTTCGAGGTGGCAACCTCATTTGTATCAAAGACGCTTTTTCCACTCTCCTTTTTATCACCTACTATTATGCCTTTTTTCTTATATTTTCTCCTTCCTACTTCGATTATACAGAATCCTTATGCCTTACCTTTTTTATCTGTACATATTAAATTTATTTGTACATGTATTTCTTCATTAATTAAGGCAATTATAATACTAATCGCTGCCTTAGGCTAAACTACATATTTTCACGATACGGGCATCGCCAGTCACTTTCCATTTGGCACAACCACGAAAAAGGTGTATCAAGAGGGACAAAGCATGCAAATTTACAAGCATTTAACTATTAATGTTATCTTAAATTTCACCTTCGGCGCACTTAACAATACTTTACACTTTTATAGCCATTCTCACTTTTATTTCAAATGTGTATTTCATTTAATTAATTACACTAGACGAGCACAAAGAAGCCAAACCGAAGTCGAAAACGAAATAAGCCAACGGCAGCAGCAAATCGAAAGCCAACCAAAGTTGCAAGTAGCACTTAAAAAGGGTTCTCAATTATGCTAAAAGTGGAAGGTATATGAAGCAAATTACCTTCCTCAAAGCTGCGGAATATCGATGTAGCCTTATAAATCTTTAGGAATAATGTTCTCACAAATGTAATTTAAATTTTTTTTATTCTTTTGTAATAGAATTAATAATTGCTTTAATTTTCTTGTTGCTGTTTTGGGAGTAGACCTTCATTTAGTAATGTATTAGCATGCAACCCTGTCTACACTTATAATCGTCACTGGCGATTCCCACATACATATTTTGTTTACGAACATTACAACAAAGTATAAACGCCAAAATATGAAAAAAGGTTGCCAACTCTTTATTTTATGCGTATGTAACTGTCATACCTAAACAAAAGCGATTGGCGGTGCGGTTTCAGACGGTTAGCGTCAGCGACGAAGTGCCATACCTAAGCAAAAGCGTGAACGCTACGTCAAATGCGTCGTATGTAACACGAAGATGATAGTTTCGCCGTTTTCTGCAGCCAACTTCAATACCTAACGCCTTGTCAAACGGATTTTCCAACCGGTCAGCGTTGACGCCGCATTGTTTCGGTATGCTTCAAACAAATTGTATGGGCATGAGAATATTTTGACAGCCAGACAACGCTGACGCTTTTGTTTAGGTATGACAGTAAGAAAACGGTAGATAAAGTAATGAGGATATCCGGGACAGCCATACTGCCGTCCCTAAAGTAGCGCGTCATGCGCCAAACTGTCAAAAATCCTCATGCCCGTACAATTTGTATGGAGCATCCGACAATAACGCGGCGCTAGCACTGAGCAAATGGAATTTTCATTTTTGACAGACGTTACGTGTTGAAGTTGGATGCAGATAAAAAAGCAATGCAATTCAAATACCCAAAGTAGTCACTGTGTTAAGGTATTTTATTAGTCTTCCGATTCTTTACAAAGCTTTTCGAATTTATATTTCAAATATCCAATTTATTTTTAAATTATGTCATTTGTTTAAAAATGTATTTCAAATAATCGCTCGGCGTAGTAAAGCTTTTCGCTTTGAAACTCCTTTTCTAAATAAGTGGAAGTAAAGTGAAAAATTATCGTGGGGTGACAGGTAAAACTCATTAAGTACACTAACAAAGAATTTGAGATATTAAGGTTTTAAACACTTTTTAACGTCAAAATTCAACCAGACGCTCTAATATCTTCAAATTTTCAGGGCGTTAAATCTAGAGAGGTGACAATACGGCTGCAAGCTTATTTTTTTAAGAACTCAGCCATAATCTTCGTTATTAACAAAACTGTATTTAGTGACTTTTTCCTGTCCAAAAATTTGTTATAGCTTTGTAAAAAATTAAAAAATAAACAACTTTAGCATTCAGAATTCCCTTTATTAATGTAAATACATGTGCACAATTTTAATTTTCATCTGATTCGTTATCGCTTCTTTCGAATAAAGGCAAAGATTCCCTTCCGGTAATTGTTGTTGATGGCAAGTTCTTATACCATGGCACCATTTCCTCTGGTATTTGTCCGGCATTGCAAAGTTTTATAAGATCTGCTTTTTTTGCTGCAGATATCGGAAGCATCGCTTCATACGCAGGGCTCAGATTAGCAGAACGCGTTCGAGGTCGACCTCTCCCTGCACTGATATTTATTTCTTTGTAGTCACTAGTGTGATCATATCTGTAATATATGGTGTCAGGTTTGGACTTTTCCACTTTTATGCATTTAATTTTCAGCCAAGAAACTTTTACGCCCTCTTTATCCTTGTTACGGTTTTTTATTGTTGCTAATGCCAATTCGTGTAAATTGTAAAAATCGTTATACGTAAGCATATGTACTTGATACTTATTTGTACGCTTTCTTCTAGCAGATTTGAAAATTTCAGCCCAATCATTCATGCAAAATGCAGTTTTATGCCGTTTAGCGACCTCTATTGCTGAATGCATAGAGTCACACTCCATATATGTATGTCCTGATTCTAGAAACTTAAGTTAAATTTTTACTAAATTACTGGCAACATGTAAGACGTGTAGTAATACTGCAGCTACTTGCTGATTTCGATTTTGGCCGCCACAAGTATCGCAAAATAAAGATATTTCCTTTACCGTGGCAGGCAGACTTAGAAGAAACTTATACAAAATTGAGCCTATTTCGTTGCTTCCACGTTTGCCATGGAGTTCGTTCCACGTGAAGCAATGCGCTTCTTCCCCATCTCCAACATAAATAGTTAAATTATACACGCATATTTTTCGCGAGTAATAAAATAATCTGAGCTGGGAATATGGAGAACACTTTGCAAATCAAAGGTGCAAGTAAGAAATGAAGGATCCTCCTTACATCTTTGTTTATCAAAGCGTTTTGCTTCATTGCATTCGCCTTTTCTAATTAAATGCAAGCAATATTCGGATTCAAGTTCCTTTTTTGTTTCAATAGTAGTCGCCTTCTCATACTTATAGCACAAAGCACAAAGATCCTTTTTGGGTTTAAAAAATGAGTAATTATAATTGTCGCAAAATATCCGTCTATATGTTTTTTCGTTAACTGGAGAGCAAATCATATTTTCTGTGCAAAAATCGTTTTTATATAAGTCATGCATTTTTGAAATAGTTAAATTTGAATCTAGATATAATTTTTTGGTAGACTGTCTTGAATAATGGGATTCCATTACAGGAAAACTCTCAATATGTTTTTTTACAAGGGCAATATCGTTTTCGCTGGTTTTATTACCAGGAGCTTTGTGACCTCTTCTATCGCCGTTATCATAACACCCACTTCTATTACGGCCTCTGAAGGCTGTGTTTACTGGTCCGTTGGAAATACACAATGTCTTCTCGAAAAATTTTGCACATACACGTCTTCTGCCCTTATCGGTTTCTAAATAATATGACTTAGATACGGAACGGGCTCGCTTACTATCAATAGATACTTTTCGCCGTTTCGGCTCTTTCATAGTAACATATTTGAGAATAAAGTCCTTTTGTCGATTATAATTAGCAAGCCCCCAGTACGATTTACAAATATCTAATCTGTCTTTATCTGAGAAGTTGCTATTGCATTTAAAGGCGCAATTCGAGCAATTAACTTTCCTTGGTACTTTAGCGAGACATTGTTTGTATTTATTTTTATAGGGTAGACATTTGGACCGTCGTGACTTAACAATATTTACCTTCCAGGCGCGTTTGTTGCTTTTTTTCGCCTAGTTAAGTTATGGGCACTACTAACCTCATAATCCGAAAATTCAGATCCGCTACTTGATGGTGAATAGCTCGTGTCAGAGTACAGACTGAAGGTTTCATCACTTTCGCATTCATATGGCACAAGCTGAACAGTCTTATCCATTTTCTGTTGAAATTTGTATGCATTCAATATTATCTTTTTAATTACACAGCACCACAAAAAAAAAGTGTCGGGGTGGGGGATCAGACCACCCTTTCCCTATGTACTTTGATGCGCTGACCACGCATCTGGTGTCCGTTTTGATCCAGCACGTCTGGATTTTTTTCTAACCTCAAAAACCATGTCAAATATTTAGGGGTATAGGAATATTTGACATGTTTTTGTAGGTTAGAAAGAAATCCAGACGTGCTAGACCAAAACGGACACTGGACTCGTGTTCAGCGCGTCAAAATACATAGGGTAGGGGTGGTCTGATCCCCCACCCCCGACACTTTTTTTTTGTTTGTGGGGCTGTGTTATTAAACCAAGTTCTATTTTGTGAGCAGTTACTTACCTATTAATTGCTCTTTCCGATTTTTACTTAATTAGGGATGAACCTTGTCAATGTTTAATTTTCCTTTATAGCTTATTCCGGAAGTATAAGAATATTGCGGTCACCAATTATTCCATTGAAGGTTGAAATTGCTTTCATTGATTTAGCTTTTAAATTTTTTAGCAAGAAAAAATTGTCTGTCAAATGTCACCAACTACAATGAAAAGCCAATATCGATGGCAAGAAAAATTCATTAAATACGGTAATGAGTTTTACCTGGCCAAGTTTTATACAAATTTTTAGATAATGATATTTTAATTTTTGCAAAGGCCGCCTGCTCTAAGTTGGGCAAATATTAAATCATTTTTCAAAAAGGGCAGTGAAAAATAATGTGATTTATGCAAAAAACGGGGTTTTTCCAAAAACTGTACTTAATGAGTTTTACCTGTCACCCCACGTTATATCGATTCTGAAATGCCTAAGACTTTATTAGTGCTCTATACAACGTAAGCTGTTTTAATGCCCTTTTAAATAATTGAACTTTTTTCCTTACACAAAGGTTTTGCAATTCTCTTTAGAGTTGATTTCAACCCCATTCAATTTGAATTCAAAATTTCTTTGGTGGAAATTTACTAGGAATTGAATTGCAGAATCTGCCTAATAAGCCGCTTTCGATTCATCAAACCCAAGTTAAATTATTTCACGATGTAAAGATGTATGCATGTATTCTATTATTTAAAAAAAAAATTATGTTTAGAACTGTTTGGCCGAGCTTCTCTTATAAATGGAGGAACCTACAGCAGCAATACACTCACGAGGTTTGTCACTGCCTGCCGAGGGATGACCGTGGTAGTACGCACCTCTACCCACTCAGCCGCAGCGTCCCTACGAATTAATTATTTTTCGTTAGCATGCAGATAAAATCTTCACCTCTATTGCGAGTGGCGACTACTAGTAGATAAACGACTGTTAGTCGATTATCGATTACCCGTGGTATTTTCCAAGTCGTTTTCTCGTTCCATAAGTGCGTAGTTTATAGTTTATAAAGCTCATCCTTCTACTAACAAACAGTTTTAGAAAGATAGTTTTTAGATAGATAGATAGTTTTAGAAAGGCCGCATGGCGACAAAGAATCAGAAACTAATAAAACAATTTCCGTGGTGAAAAAAGCATTAAAATCATCATGCAAAAATGACGCCGTGTTTCAACAAATATTAAAGGACGTACAGGAAATGTCTCTTCTATTTGTTGAAGTGTCCAGATATATTCACTTCACACTTATGAAACGTTGGGAACAACGAAACTTTGAACCCATAAATTTGCTGGACTGTTATTACCATCTAATGGTAAAGAAAAAACCAAAATATACAATAGACCAGGAGTATAATATGCTGCGAAAAAACCTCAAGTTGTACGATAGTTCGTATCGGTCGAATTTATTTGTGGAAAACGCGAATAAATACCTAACAAAATATTTTAAATTTGAGGACTGAGCTACCTATTCGAAAAAAATACCAAAAATATCTCAGATGAAGCGTTACTTGTACGTATGCGTACCGATTTAAAATGGAACGGGCAAAAGCTACACGAAATAAAGAATGTCAAACTATTTTGGTCTTCCATCGAATTATTTTATAACCTGCAACGGTATAATGAAATCAAATAAATAAAAAAATTTTCACTAATACCACAACTAAAACACGGTTTACATCACGTGAGATACGATCGATTTGCTTTGTACCACCTATTGTGTCGATTGAAATTATTCAAAGGACCATTTCCTTCCTTCGATAAAAGTGAATTTGGAAAATATTTTAAAATTCCTTCAACGTGCACTAAAACGTTTTCTTCACTTCAAACCGATGGAGTGTCGGTATCTTTTTCGATGGAAAAGAAAATACAAAATGAAACCAAAGGCAAAAAAAGAAAACTGAAACCAAATGAAACCGATTGTGAAGGTAATTTAATAAAAATACGCGGAACAAAATACGACAACAAGATTGGGCTAGATCCTGGGTGTCGGCTCATTTTAGCTGGCATCCAGGACAATGTTCCTGTGAAAATCAAAAATTCGTACTATCAACACCTTTCTGGTTTCTATTCTCGCAAAATAAAACTACATAAATATACGAAAGATTTCACCACAAAATCAGAATTGTCTGCGAATTCGTCAAATTTTAAAGAATATTGTAAATTTGAACTTGAAATACTGGAGAAAAAATAAAAAATATTCTCGCAAAGGTGGCTCGGCTGAAGCTGAAGAAATACATTTGCCGACAAAAAGCCTGCAACAAAATTGCGCAACAACTGGTACCAAACAAAGAAGAGAAAACGTTAATCTGCATCGGATCAACAGAGATTGCTTCAAACTCACCAATGCGTGGATATAGGCGTACACCAAATCGGTTACTAATCGCAGCACTAAAACAACGGCAAGCAGATATTCTGATGGTTAATGAATTCAGAACAACCAAACTTTGCGCAAAATATTACAACGTAAACCTGACGTCCAAATCGCCACACAGGTACCAGTTTTGTCCAAACTGCCGTACATGCTGGAGTCGCGACGTCAATGCTGGGAAAAACATTCTGTATCTGGGAGAATTTATCATTACCCAAGAACAAAAACACGACAATTTTCACAAATAAGATGTCATTATTTCATTTATGGCGAAAAATATGTACATCTGACTGGCAACAGTTTAAGTGCGCTTAGTAATGACGTGACATTTTCAATACGATTCGACTCTCGAAAAACGACTTGCATTCGACGCGACTCTCGCAATGAGGCTGATTATAAAATTATAGCTTAACAATTAATTTTTTGTGCTTGGAACACATTGACGTTAAGCCAAATAACTTTAAATTAATTAAATTTATTAAATATTAATGTTTGAACTTTTTATTGTGAGAATTCATAGATTTAATTTGCTGCACCAGCCAATGAACACCGTCTTCCAAGCCCTCTCCAGTAATTCCATTGCTTGGTGTAATATGCCATGGCTTGTCTTCGATATTCTGTAAACCTAAAGCTAATAGTCAAAATTGTTAAAACTGCAAATGTATTTTTTTTTTAAATAATGTTCATCTAATTTCTTATTTACCAGCGGCTATTTTTACACTGGATAAGGAATCTTCACAGTCCACTTTATTATTATATAAAAGTATGGGTATACTTCGATTTTCCAAGTCAGGATGTTTCAAAAGAGTGTCAAGCTCATCTCGCACCACAACTATAAATTAAAATTAAATTTATTTTTTTAGCGCTTATATAATTAACTTGGAATCATATAGCCTTATTCGTAAAAAATAAAATAGTTTTAAAAAGCTTTATAGAGTGACATTTACATACAGACTTTCGATATATAAAGCATTATTTTTTATGATGGTGTGATGGTGATTGTTATATGGTGTTCCACACTGTACGTCTACACTAATACGGTGTTCACATGAGGCGATTTTACAGGCAGCTTTAAGTTGAAAACAACAATCGCCTGGTGTAAACGACATTTTAACTTTTGATTCAACTAATCTCCTCTCTCCTCTAACATGCTTGGAAATCTTGCTTGCGTTCTGATTTTTTTCTCTCGCAAGCGAGATAGAGTTTTATTGACTGGGCATTTGACATCATACTTTTGCTTTTGTAAAATGTCGCCAAAATAAACGATGTTTCTACTCTGAAGAATTCTGCGAAATGAGTAAATACCCGTCAAACAACTCAAATGATTGCTGAAAGCATGCGATATCTTTTCGCGCTTCGCACTTTTTGCGGTTTAAACGTGTGGGATCTCGCTTGCGTCGTCCAGCACGTGAAGACGGCCGATAAAATTGCCTGGAAAATCGCCTCATGTGAACACCGTATTTCTCAAACAAGTCCCATAAGATAGTTAAAAAAAAATAAAAATACCAAATTTCGATACATTTTAGGAATGATTTCTAATGGGAACCAAAGTAAAATAATACTTAAAATATTTCAAAGTGCGTATACCCTGTATATGTATGTATGAAGTATATAAATCATACCTAATCTCATTCGATCGCTGGAATCAATTACATATATTATACCATGACAGTTCTTAAAATGGTGTTCCCATAAGCTTCTATAACGCCAAGCACCTGAAGTATCAACCATAGTGAACAGCACTCCTTCACCTTTAAACAATCAAAAAAATTGCTAGTAGGTAGTCACACTTAAAATATTTTTTGCACGCTTACTTCTGATCTGTTCCAAGGTGAATCCCACTGTAGGTACTGTGATGGTGGCTTGCTCATGCGGCGATTTAAAGTGGTTTATTATGGTTGACTTACCGCTATTGTTCAGACCAATTACAATGACTGTTACTTTTTCGGATTTACTTTTAAAAAAGGTTGATATTTTTTTAAACATTCCCATTTTAATCCAGTCTATGTTGCTTGCGTGCTGCTGTTAGGCTTTTTTCTTGAATGTCTGATTGATGATGGAATAACAAATCGTTGCTATGACAATCGGTTGGTCAACATTGCCAGAATTAAGGAAGAATATGCAGAGGTCTTCCCCATGATACAATTATTTTTAGAAGGTAGTTTCACTTCTTCTTATCCGCCACGTTAGATATCGGACAGAAAACGTGTTTTGTATTTTTTGTTGTACCAACTTAAAAAAAAATCCAGCTTTTGGAGCAGAGGAATTTTCTAATATTTTTAAATAATTTTCTTCATAAAAAATTAAGAAAATATTAACTTCCATGGATATTGCAACACACGGAATAGATGTAAGGATGCAGCTAAAAGAGCCACCGATCACCACAGAATTTATCGGCCGCCTATTTAAATTGTAGGGCTCAGATGAAATATGTACATGAAGATGTATGGAGGTGCGCACACTACACCAACTCAATCGCTCCGACCAATTAGTTGTGGCATAATGGAAAGACTAGCGAGCCCAACTAATTCGGCGGCCGAAAAAGTCCGTGGTGTGCGATGTGATTAGCAGTGGCAAGAATGTATGTATTACATATGTATACATATGTATATTAAAAATGAAGTGATCAGTTAAGAAATATATAAATCTTTACATGTGCTGTTAAAAAATATCTAAAATAACAAGCAAAAATCCCCAAGTTCTATATCATAGCAGTGGCCACATTGCGTGTTTGTCACAGACACGGTTTATGTCAAAAATTTTTAAGTGTAAAGCGCTGGTTATACTTACATTGCAAGTGCAGGGCATAGAGAAGCAGCGCATGTGAAGCAGTGGTGTAATTATACTCGGCATAGAGCGCATAATTTTCCAGAATCAGCTGCTCACTGTGATCAGTTAGTCTGTTCCACTACTCCACCATTTAGTTAGGAAAACATAAGTGAAGAATGCTTATTCATAGCTTAAATGAAGTCGACACTAAAGTTAGTTGCTGCTTTTTGTCATAATTTTCAATGAAATGGCGGCAACTAACTTTATAATTGACTTTGTTTCGAATATAAATATGCCCCAATGTATGTACAAGAACGACTTCTCAGTAATTCCTCTAAATCTGATGGGTACTGGAACAGACTAATGAGAGCAATGAGAGTGGCATCTCTCTTTGAAAATGTCACATAGCGAAAAATCAAAATTCTCCAGACTTAGATGCCATGCCCTGTCATGCGCTGCGTAGGATAATCGCTTGTATGCAAAGCTCGTTAAACAGATTCTATATGTGGCAGTACTCATGTTATGCGCTGCAGCACAATGCAAGTATAACCAGCGCTTAACTACCTTTTAAAAACCATTGTATCATGGTCTTCCCTTGCCGCAGAGCTCCACAGGCAAACACCGATGGCCTACCAACTGTCATTTTGTCGAGAAATATGATTGCAAGTATTTGTGTGTGGGCCGCATGACGCCACCAGACAACATTCTCTCAATTTCGGTGTTTAAAACTTAAAAAACTTGCTGAATAATTTCCTAAAACGTAATCATAAATAATCCAATAGGGAACAGATTTTTATTTTCCAAATTTCATCGATGTTACCACAAGCACGCTTTCTTTCAAATCAAAATATGGCTGTCAAACTATTGAATTGCCTGCAATAGATGTCAAGCAATATTCGTTTACACATTTCTGATAAATTTCTCCAACGATTTCACTTAATAAACTTGATAAACTGAAGCCAAAGCAACTCTGTCGCAGTTCTAGCTATGTTTTCTTGGGCAATAATCGTGATCCGCATACAAATTTTGCAGGCAAATTCCACAACAACGATATGATCCTGATATAAATCCGGTTCAATTATTATCTGTTCTGGTTGTTTTGTTTCACTGATCATTTGGCCGCAAAGTTTAGTAGCCGTGACAAATGAATTGATACACGAACAGACATTCTGCCATTATTTCTTTTAACTAGCTTCAAATAAATAGCCTGTATGTTATATGTATATTTATTTAAATATATATTATGAGTTAGTGAGTTAGTTTCTGAAATTTCTTTATCCTCGTGCTAGCAGTATAAAGTTAGTGATACGAGCTCTTTAACCAAAGAAAACACGACTATTGTCGCATGTGTAAACGAAAGGATAGTGTGGGTCGTTCATGTTCATGTTTTTGACGTTTGCTAGCATTTTGAGTTTACTCTCTCGAAATAATTCTAATGTCAAAGAAATTCAAAATAAACAAATGAAAATTTATGATTTGAAATATTTATTTATTCAGAAGTTGAAAAAACTAAAAAAATTGGAGACGAGAAAACAGTTGCTGCTTTAACGGCTGCTGAAATTTCGTTGTCCTCTGCAAGCACAGCAATGTCAAGTTTTTTAAGTTCCCGCAATTACCGTACAAAGGCAAAAATGGATTGAGGTTTGTGGTGGTATGAAATGTTTTTATCATGTTTTTACCCTTAAACAATTCTCAAGTAGAAGTAAAAAACGCCGCAGGAACTTTAAATGTACCGTAATTCACTATTAATTTAATAAAAATTACCGTTTTTGGCATTTTGTTTATTAATTATTTTTATAAATCATATATTTTTACAGTTTAACACAATTCAACCGCATTTCCTATCGAAAACTTGAATATTAAGAAAATAGACCCCTCTGACAGTTTATTTTAACCTCCTGTTGTTGTTGTAGCAGCATACAAGCTCCCCAAAGAGTTTTTGGGGAGTGTTGCTGGAGTGACAGTCCTTGGCCAAATATAAATCTGGGTCGCTCCGGTTACGTAGACCCGACTGTCGTGGGAAGCATCCTAATCGGCTTTGCATACTTTTAATGGAGAAATGTCATCGCCGCCGGGAATGCGCAATCTTGTATTCTAAAAGTATTGTAAGAAATGTACAGTTTTGAGAGTTTATTTATACTATTCGCCTTTGTTTACTTTTATTTGAGAAATGAGATGGTTGGCGCATTCAGAGTACAGCTACTTTGTCCTTGGCGAATTTGACAGAATCAGCTGTTCGTGGGATGTCATGATAGAAGTGTCCGCATTTAGTATTGTTATCGTATGGATGGTTTCTTCACCCGATCTACTATTTTCTGTTCAGAAGGTAGATGAATACAACTACGATTTGTTTGCAATTGGCTACTGACGGCATTTTTTTCTCCTTCATCTCCCCTTTTCGTTGCTTTCAAATTGTTTGTCAAATTGACAAATTATTATATATTTTTTTTTTAATTAAACAGTTTTATAAAAGCCCAAAAGATGGCTGGAACCACGATTCAATAATGAAAGGTTCTGTAAGAAAAACTTTCTCTCACTCTAATTTTATCAATGACACTCCCACCCTACTCCTAAAAACAAAAACAGTGATATTTATTTTCCAAATTTCTTTGCAAGTTTTAATAAAATTTTTAAATTGTTAGTAGTGAAATTTTTACTTTTTAAATTTGAAGAAATGTTTGTTCTTCATTCGCTGGCACCAACAAGACAAAATGGGTGAGAATCGATGGACTACAGAAATTCAATGTATGCTAAAAGACGAAATTCCATTAAATGCCGAAATGTATTTGTCGATATTCGTGGAGACCTCTTGATTTTGCTTGTGTTTAAATTAGATAATTAAATCAAATTCGTTTTTGTTTTAAAATACCACCTTTCACTATTATCCACACCTTTTTACGGAATTTAGCTCCCATTTTAGGAAGTGTGATTGAATTCTTCCCCTTTTTCTCCTGCTTCCACAAACCATCCCTGTGGGTGGGAGTGCCAAATTTTAGAAAAAAGCTACTTACAAAACCTTATTAATTGAATCATGGCTGGAACTTGGCTGGAACCACAAACTGATTCTCGCTGCTTTCAACTTGTTTGTCAAATTGGAAAATTACAACTAATTTTACAGAAAATAATTGTATTGCCAACTATTTTTTAATTTACCCTTTGCATTTTTCGTCAAGTGGCAGGGCTCTCATCTGCTATTGACGTCGTTGCGACGAATACCTGAATTCAAAGATGGCGACCATCTTTTCGCTCGTGTGAGTGCCATTCGTACGTATATCTACAAAATTTGGGAAGATCCTGCAGACTGCAGTAATTTTAAAGTAAAGTAAAATAGTTTTTTGCAGAGTAAATAAAATAAAAAAGTTACTGAAAATACCAGAAAGGTGTGTATCGCGTTTTGATCATAAAAACATGGTGGAACTAGTATTGCTAATACAAAGTACTTGATAGCTAAATGTGCATAAAATTTTTTTTTGTGGCTAAGGTGTGGAAATTGGTAAATTTTCATTCGGAAAGTTCGCTAATGACCCGTGGCATGTCGCTTCTCTAGTAAGTGCTCGCGTGTGGACCTAAAGAAAAAACCATATTTTTCTTATAGTCAAATTGATTTCCTGGGCATTTGTTTTAAAAATAAAACTCATAAAAATCGGGCCAAGTCGACAGAAAAAAAACTGCAGATACATCATATGTATAAGTAAAAGAGGAAGAAGAAATCGCGTCGAAGTTCGTGTGACGTCGACTTCAATGCTTCTGAGTCGGCCTTGATACTGCAGCGGTTTGTCAATGTATCCGATCCGTACGAAGCATCTGAGTCTAATGTTAAAAGAGAAATCCAAAATTTTTGATATTCCCAAAAGTGACCGATCCCATGTATAGAAATAGTCCATTGTTTGCAAACCTTATTCAAAACTTGCTACAACTTAATACTGGAATTTGGGAATAAGAAAAATTAATTATATAAACGGTAAGTGGAGAAGGAGAGTCGCAATGAAAATAATCGATAATAAGAAGGCTGCTCCAGGTTTTTTTATTTCTACATCCCAGTTTACGAAACTCGTAATAGTTTATTTAGAGTTTACATAAATGGTTACTTTTAATTGGCGAAGTCGAGCAGGTTTTGGTACTTTGATGAACATACTAGATATGTAAATACCTACATATGTATTAACATACTTTTGTATATATTTATGCAGTTCAAAATATTCTCTACATGCTTAAAGTTTAGCACAATTATGTTTCTTTAATTTTTAAATTTGTTATTTGCGAAGTAATTCTTTAGAGTTTTGTTTTTATTCACCCACAGTTGGAATACACAATTTTCACTAACATAGATATTTAAAAGAAGTAGGAAAACATAACCAGGTTTCTTTGTACATCAAAAAAATAAATGTTAGCGAAGCACATACAAAGCAGTTAAAAAGAAAGGTCAAATTGGTATTGGAAAACTAGTTTGTTGTCAAAATCCGCAGCAGGTATGAAATATATGTAGGCATTAAGAAGTATTTACTGACTAAGGTTTACATTTGTTTTAATAATTAGTAAGGTTCTAAAGGGGGTGGGTTAGGCGTTCTTAATTTACAAAAGCACTGTTCTGAGAAAACAAATGTGACAGGTAGATACGTATGTATACATATATGTACATAGAACGTCATACGGAAATGTATTGCAACATACTATGTACATACTTACTTACATAGGTGTATAACATGATTTGAGTATTGACCTAAAAAATTGGAAAAATTTGTATTAGATGCAGCCTTTGTAAGCTGTTTTGACCTACCTTCTTGATTTCATATCTAAATAATCCGAGTAGGTAACTAGTTTATGTAAATCACTACAAGGTTGTTAATTATGTACTAACATTTTTTATTTTATAAAATTTCTTTCTTTTCTATATTTTATAAGAACTGGAATGATGCGTTCTACTTTAATATATAACATTGAGCACATAGTCATAATTTTTTTGGAGAACCTCATTTCCTGTAAGAATGGGATTTGTAAATTTCGAAGAAGAACACCTATGCCACTGCTTGAACGCATGGTCGCATGCAAAGTGAGCAATTTTCAAAGTTCTTCTTTGTGCTTTTATATCATGATGGAAGCGCATAGGATTCTTTTAGCTGGTGACAAATGTACAGTCAGAGAACTTTTTTACAAAGATCCTGCGAAATGTTGCAAACCTGTCAGTATTTATAATAGTTTAAAAGATGTCTGTACACTTTTAAGAACAACTCCATGGAATTTGGGAATTTGCGCTTCTGGAAAAGGATTAATAGCAGGTTGTTTTTCTAAAATAAATTTCTACTTATCCATTTTTATTATTTCATTGTTTTATTTTTGTAGGTGCGATCCGCTTACATATGATAAATGGTGACGTGATCGACTGCTATACTCATGGCGGTGCTGTTGTACTTCCACAAGATCAGAATTCCATCGATCGCTTGGAAACAACAGCCTCATTTGTATTACTTGTAGAAAAAAATACCGTATTTTCAAAACTCTTATCACAAAACCTTTTCGGAGTTATTGGTGTAGATGTGATATTAGTCACCGGTAAAGGATATCCAGACTTATGTACGCGCTACATCCTAAATCGTCTTTCTACCGAGCACAATATTCCAGTCTATGCACTTTTCGATGCTGATCCATTTGGTATTGATATTTTATTGGTCTATCAATTTGGATCCAAAAAAATGACACCAGATATATCAAAGAATTTAATATGTCCAGGTATGCGCTGGTTAGGCATACATCCAAGCGAGCTTAATATGTTTAACTTTTCAAGCGCGGCGCTAAGCGATAAAGATAATAATAAACTTGAAAAAATGTTGGCATACAACTATTTAATACCCAGTTTGCACGCAGAATTGCAAATTTTACAGATATTACAACGGAAAGCTCATATCGACGACTTAAATGATATTTCACAAAATTTTCTTATAAACGACTACATTCCAAATAAGATAAAAAGAAATCTTGTTATTTAAGCAGAGAAGTATTTTTTAAAAGAAAACTCAAACATTCAGATACAACGTTAAATTGAAATGAATTCATTTTTAAGTTGAATAAATACATGTACGTAATATGTTTATACTGATTTTGATTTCATAATCATAAAGGAAGGGTGTTGCTTCGACGTAGCGAGATTAATTAACTATATTGATCTAGCCCGAAGCGATATTTGTAGGTGTACTATAACGAACCTAAATCCTACCTTATTTTATAAATTCGAAGTTTTGTTACCTATGTAGGCACTTATGTACATTTGTTTGTTAAGTGCCAGTTTTACAGCGACACGGTTAAATCTAACTGCGGTTTTAAACTTATTTAAACGCTCGAACTAGTTGGCAAGTGCACCAACGCGCAAGGTTAAGTTTCAAGTGTCTGTCAAATGAGATGATATTGCCACACAGTAAACAAACATGGTTTGTATTACCATATTTAACAAAAAGAAAAAAAGTGGATAGTTATTGGATGGAATGAACCTTTAAACCTTTATGAGAAGTGGTTGGGTTTTCGGTTCGGATCAAACATTTGTGGAAACTTTCGGTTCGGTTAATGGTTCAGTTAATTAATAGAAAAAAGCTGTCTCCCGGTTCAAAACCGGTTCACGTCCCTGGTTTAGACTAAGATTAGCCAATCAAATGTCAGCCATCTGTCACTGAAACCTAGCTCTTAAATAGTAAAATTTAAATTTCTGATTTATAATTTTTATGATATATAGGTATACATATATACATGTCAAATCTTTTATTGTAACTTAAAATGCATATTGAAATTCATCTGTAATGCTAAACAATAAAAAGTTATACTTTCACGTAGATTGTAAATAGGAAAAGCCCTTTTAGGAGGTATGCAGTAAATCATTTCTTCAGCCAATCTTGGGTAAGCCTTTTAGAATAGCTTCACTTAAGAATGACTACATTAATAATCTTTTGGTTAGTTACACCAAATTATTTTTATGGGAGAGTTGCCTACTTGCCAAAACTTACTGCCAATTTCACGAAATCAATTTAAGTGAAACATTTTCTTTATTGAATTATGTACTTAGATGTCTAAAGTTGAATATGGGTCAGACATTATGAAAGATTACACAGATTATACAGATTTATTTTTAGATACAAGTTTAATAGGTGTAATGTAGTTAAGAGTAAATACGAAAGGTATCAACGCACATTGAAATCTATCAAACCAAGAATGGACGAGCAGTCAATTCAACCTGAGACAATGGCAAGAAGAAATGACAAAGACAGCAAATTATTTCTTCTTAGTTAAATAAAATATAACAATATGATATTGTTACGGATTTGATAAGTTATCGACAAATGTTGGTCATCTGATGTAGTTTCGCAGATACTGAAAATTCTTTAAAGATGATTACACAGACGCAAATATGTGTGGAATACTGCAAAAAGGCTAATGAGCAGTATTCTCTCAGCTTTGTTATGCATCTGGCTCTACCTAGCATCCATTTAGGACTTCTTGTGAAACAAAAAACCAGCAAAAATATGTTCTTATTGCACGAAATTGTAATATTATTATATAGTTAATTTTTTACATATTCTTTTTCCATCTTAGCCACAGCACAAAAAGTTAAAAAAGTCAAAAACAAAGAAAAGAAAAAACATTCCTTAAACGAACCTAACTAATTACCGATATTTTTTAAAATACTTCTTTTAAATACGTACAAATTAAACATTTTTGTTGTCTTTACAGATGATCGCTAAATTGATCTAGTGATATTGCAGCTAAGGCTTGGTGAACATCTATCTATGTAAGATTGCACATTTTTGGTGTTCACTGATGCCAAAATCTAAAAGAAGTAAAACAGCAAGACTGTTGGTACAGCGCGCGAAGAGCTAAAGCAGCTACAGCGAAGAATTTCGGGAACGGCACACACACACTCACATACACAACCAATATACATAGAAATAATAAAAACAGCAAAAGGCAACCATTTGCGCAATCCCTCTCCATTTTTGTCTCCTACTAGTTTAAATTTAAGTTGGCGTTGTTTGAAATAAAATGTCTGCTACAATGCGAGCGACATTACAAACAGTTCCTGAAACCCTACCAACCGAGCATGTGTCCTCCACAACGGATGCGGCTGCGGTATCATCAAACACCCCAACGACAAATTCTTTAACGGCCATTACCTTAAACACATCGCAGCAGCAATACAATAGTACCATAAATGGTTCAGTGCATTCAGTCAAGGACCAGCAACATGACTCGGCAAATGCCAATATTATTGCACTGCCACAAACCACAACAACTAGTGTTGTTGTTGCAACAACAACAGCAACCACACCAATCGCTGCGGCTAATGTTACAGCAAATACGACTGTCAATATTACATCCCAATCACAACCACAACAACAGCAGTCACAGCAGCAGCAGCAGCAACAACAAACGCATCAGCACCAGCAACAACAGCAACACAGTCACCAGCATCAACATCATCATCACCTTGTGAATAATGCTACTACAACAGATGGTGGTGGACGATTGCCTCCCAATAATACGTCTACAACGGCGGCCGTTATAAATCACCATCAACATCACACCTCCGGCATAACAAGTGTTGGAGGTGGTGGTGGCGGCGGCGGCGGTGGCAGTGGTGTTGGTGTTGCACCGCTGCCCGTTAATAAAAACATTTTGGCTTCGCACTCGAATTCAGCGACGATGAAGCAACGAACATCTTCGGCTAAGGTAAGTGGCCTTCCGTTATTAATTACATACACACCACATATACATACATATATATCTGTTGCCAGTTATGCGACATACTACATTTCACGTAGTTGTTGATTAGATTTCATTGTGAAACCTTTATCAACGATAATCTTCCAATTCATACTTCTAAGCATCAAATCCTTAAATAGTTGCGTTTTTAAATCGGTAATTCCTGCAAAACACTTGCTCTTGCATATAAATGTGTATGGAGCCACACACAAGTGTGTTAATTTATTTTCTTACATACATAGCTGTGGATGGTAGCAGATTTCAAAGGATATTGAAACTTAATTGGGGAATACTAATATTTAACGAAAAGATCCTTGAAAAACTTACTGCATTGAAAGCAGAATTTTTTAAATTGAAATATGTATGTTATTTCAACAAATGTAAATTTTTATGTATTTGAGTACGTACTTGCATACCTGTGTGTTGCATGTGTGCTTATGTGTATGAAGCAAGTGTATATGCAGGAAATATTCATTTTCTTGTGAAAAAATTGTTGGTTTAGTAGTGTCAATTGCATTTACCATAAATATACTACATATTCATACATACATACTAGTATATTCGATGTGTTCTACTATATAGTTGTTCTGTGCGCTTTCATTTGTAATTTTTTTTACATACATACTATAATATATTATGATTCACAAAAAGGGTAACGGTAAAAAAACTGTTCTATGTCAAAAGTGTTTCCGTACTGTTTCATGTCCACCATATAAGACAGATATGGCATACATATATATATATAATAATTCATGAACTACATGCTTATGATATATTTGTATGGATGTGCGTAATCATTTGTTTGAAATGTGCTTAAGATAGCAGGTGCTTGGGTAGTGAAGATAAACTATTTAAATAAAAAAATCTATACAGATTTTGATAATGGACGTACTGCAAACAAATGAACTGATTAAATAAATGCAATGACAAGAGAACTGCAAGCAAATCACGTGGGGGGTTGAACTCTAATGCTAGCTAAGAGAGTTGTTTTTCTTTATGTTTGCTACGGAAAACAAGATGAAGCTTAAAATAAATTGTAATAAAAACCACATTTTTATAAAGTATACGTATGCCATATACTCTGATAAAGGATTTTCTAAACATCAGGCTTTTTGAATGGGGACGCCCAACACCGCACACCTTTTCGCATGCCCCGATTATCCCACCCATTTGATATCCGAAGCGCTGTGGACTCGAACTATCGAGACCGCTCGCTTCCTGGGCCGGAGGTTGGAGGACTCAGATGGGGAAGATGAATAAACAACCAAGCAATTCGGGGACTACCTTCTGCTACAACAACCACAACAATGGGACCGTTAATTCCTTTTTTAATTTCGTATTCTATATGGATTGCGTGATAAAAGAAAATCGCCCTGTTTTATGCACCATATTAAGAATCCCCTCCAGGAAGGGAATAGCGTCAGATGCACATGTCCGCGCCTATGCGTGAAATCATAAAAATTGTAACGAATTGTCTGAAATTGTTTAATGAAACAGGAAAGAAAGGCCACGGAGTTGGATATTTGTAGATCCATGCCATGGTTATTCTATGATGACCTCCTTTACTATCACCATCGGTGACTGTAGTCTTCCACAAAAACCCATTGGACAGTTTGCATGCGGTTATAACAGTAACATCGCATACATTTGCATTCATCCCGAACGACAGCGTAGCCACTGTATCTTTATTCGGTTCACTACCGTTATGTCGTTATAAAGCCTCTACGGCTCTTAGCTCCATCGTCTCGGGTACTCGCTGTCTTAAACAGCCATATATTTTTCGCAGAATCTTTCTTTCATGTCTATTGCAGAATTCGCAACGCCGAGCTTTCCTCGTCTAGTTAGACCAGTTATCCAGAGGGAGAAGCCTTTTAGCGGTTTATATAGATAGAGTAAATGCTATCTCCGATTGTCACTGAGTTAAACTCACGATCTTAGGCTCGCACAAACGGCGCGTGCCTTCATTCAAACAAGTGGTTGTTGTTGTTACCGCATAACAGTTTTGGATATAAATTTTTATCGTGGAATCAATGAAGTCACAGGGAGCTATCACCACAACATGATCGATCTGGTTTCTCGTTTCTAAATACAGCCACGTAGCTCTTTTGGTGCTAGAAGCTAAAAACTGCCATGGTTCCGGGCCTCTTTTCGTTATCGAAGGTTTCGTCGCGGACACCGAATTTTCCGCCTATTGAACTAAAGAAACCTTTGAAAGCCCACCCTGATATCGAACGTGCCAAGTACGATTTTGAGGGCGTGAGGGGTGTTATCCTTTACTGTCGGGGCGTGGAAGAAAATTAGCAAGTTGTTTAACAATCTTGCTTTGATACGAATTGTTGCGAGA